TATACATACATATACACATACACATATATATATATATACACACACACACACACACATATATATATATATATACACACACACACACATATATATATATATACACACACACACATATATATATATATACACACACACACACACTGTAACAAACCACCTCTTTTACAGGTAGGATTGTCACAGATCTTGCAGTAACCACAGCCTTCTAGGGTATACAAAGTCCAGGACACATTCAGGTCAGTTCCTTTTTATTTGATAAGAAAACCAGGTGCTTTAAATAATAATAAACAAACAAAATTCCTTGCTCTTACTTGAGCTCTTACTAGACAGAAATTACTATCTGTAATTGGGTGGCTTTGCAATAAACACAAGTGTTGTTCTCTCTCCTAGCTGGCTTTTTCTCCCTCACTCTGCAGCAGGCTGCTCTCTTCTTTTAAAGGCCTGTCTACTAATTGACTAGCTACAGGTGAGTGCCAATTAGTTGGCAAATAGTGGTCTGTTACACAGCAACTAGTGCTGTTGGAGCATTGGCCCACCCTGCTCTCCAAATACTCCACCCCAGGGACCCATACCATGTTTTGCAGAGCATCAGCAATGCATATTGCAAACTTTAACATCTCTCCCTGGAGCATTTAACTGAAAATTCTCTGGTTGCTGTTAAGCAAATCAGGCCTGATGTATCTTCCATCAACCACTATTCCACTTTTACGCTCACAACACATATATATATATATATATACACACACACACACACACATACCAATTTACATATTTTTAGCCACCCTTCTGTCTTCTTACCTTTTGGGTACAGAAGGGTGGCTTCCCTGGGGTCCAGTGGGAGTTGGATGGCCAAGGCTGATGGGAGTCTGACTTTCTCAGTCCCACTCCTCATTCTGTGTATGCCTCTTTCACCTCCTCCTTCTCCTCCTCCCCAGCGGCGCACTGCTACTTGGGAGGAAGTGATCTCACCTCACTTCCTTCCAGCAGGCAACATGACAGAGCCCCAGTCCGGAGTAATCTTAAAGGCAGCTGCTTTGGGCCCCCCAGGAGTAACTGGGCCCAGAGGAGCTGCACCTTTTCCCAGTGTTAAAAACGGCCCTGTAGACATGCACCATTGCCTCCCCTGCTGCCATAGGTTCTGCAAAAAAACTCTGGTTCTTGCAACTAAGCTATGCCTGTCTGGCTGCGCACTGTCTAGTTCATTCACTAACAGCACTCACCTGAAGCTCTTAACCAAGGAACAAGGCTCTACATGGTGGGGCTTAGTAGCAGGAGTTTCTGGCAACAGCCTACTAACAATTACCCCAGGTTTTAACAAGTATATGTCTTAAAATGGGCCAGAATGTCACCCCTTCCCTCCTAAAATTAAAATCACTTATTGCCAGTCAATGTTCCTGTATCTCCCCAAATTCACATGATGACATATCTTCCCCTAGTAATTAATGCAACTAACCCTGCGTTATTGTGTTTACGCTTATCTTTTTATATCTTTTTATATTTTATGGTCCTCACACCCCCAAGACATCACTCTCACATATCCTTGCAAGTGGGGATTGTACCACTGTATGCCATTCATACTGGAGCTAGTTACAGCTCCATAAAACGTGAGTAGGATTATATCTTATTCCTTTTATCAGCTCCTAATAACATACTACCCTATTATTTCTTCTCCTCTGTTATTTCATACGGACCAAAATCTGAATTCAACCAGATACTCCCATAGAAGATTCACGCAGTTGGATCAGCAATACTTACAAGTGAATTCCCATATTATCATTGTGGACTTTCATATATTGAATTTCTTGTTTGTACCCCACTCAGGACTGAATCATTCCCATTTATTTGTGGACTATACTATTGTTTTTACTTTTTTATTTCCTTATATTGTGGCGCTACCCTTATCTTCCTTTGTTTTTTGTGTCTCATCCATACAAATAGGACTAGATGGATTCCTATTTTGGGGTTAGCTGCCACCTTAATATCCTGTTTTAGCCAGATACTTTAGTGCTTTTCCTTCCTCTCCATTCCATCATTTTCCCCTCTGGAAATAGCTGCTTTTTTTTTTTATCTGCGAACACTATGTTAATTTTTGACTTCAGGAATAACTACATTATAGATATTAACAATGTTTTTGATAATGATGAAGTCATCACTGTCATAACACGTGAAATATATAACCAAGAACTTTTCACCAAATTAGAAAAACTAATAACAAATGAAATTAAGCTCAAATGGGAGATTGCAACCCTTAAAAAATATATAGACGAGAGAACAACACCAAGAGGTTTAAGATTTTTTTAAGTTACCAACCTCAGTTCAAGATGATCTAGATTTTATGAAAGATTGGAATGAAAAACGAGAACACTGTACATTTGGCCTGATGGAAACTCTTATACAAAAAAAACTAAACTCAATTTTAGACACAGATATAAATCAATCCAGAGACAAACTCGTACCATTCACAGACACTCAGGCTTACATACAAAATTCCATCATCATACATAAGATAGAAAAAGTAGAAATGAATACAAAACATATCAAAGTAAAAAAATACATCCGTGACAAGCAAGATTACGCAAACAACCAAGTCAGAACCTATCACCTTAAAAAACAATACATTACAGATACCTCTACCCACTACCAACGTAGACCAAATTATGAGAACCAAACAAGATCTAATACCAATCCCATTCCAATCCAAACTCCAATCACTACGAAAAACCTCACCACAATATCCCCATACAAGCCTCCTACAGATCCACCAACCGCCACTATGCCCACAAAAATATCCTAATTACACACACCCCCACCACAAATGACACTACCAACCACCCTCATGAAGACTCAATACCACACATTCCATACCTAACAACCATCACCAGTCACCTATATACCACAACTATCCCACCCACAACAAACCTTTGACCACCAACCACTCACCCCTAAACAGGAAAACCCACCAAGAGACATCTCCAAGACCCCAAAGATCAAAATATTCATATAAAAATGATGGTCACCATACGCCCAGTCACCCTCCCCCCCCCCCAAACACCATACCCACTAAAAACCAGGATAAAAAAAATCTAAGCAAAGAGGAGGGAGAGCAGGAAGAAGAATACAAAAGAGAAAGATTAGAAAGAACATATGCCCTCCAGATGAAAAATCACTAGGCTTTTTTAATCTGTCTCAAAAAGGTTTTATCTTCTACACATATTTCCATTTTAAGCAAAGGTCTTACATTCGCACCCACTAACCCCTTTCAACCCTTCCAAGTGTTTTTTTTAGATATCAATAAATTTGTCAGAAAAGCCACCCTTAAAAAATTTCTTTTTAGAAAAATCCTCCACCACAGCTGCTCCTCCTACATCATCTACCCCACCCACTACAGTGGCCCCATCCACCCCAGAGAATTCTTTACTCACAAATGAATCCAGAACAGTAACTACTCTTATTAAAAAAAAAAACAAAAAAAACCTCCAGTTTATATCCAGCAAGCTACAAATCTGGCGCCCTCGAGGTGTTTGAAAAACTGGTTCATAAAGACCTCAAGAATAAAGTTGAGCGAACCCGAACTGAAAAGTTCGGGTTCGTACCGAACATTGCGGTTTTTGGACCCAGGACCCGAGCACGGACATTTCAGTGTATGTTCGGGTTGGAGTTCGGTGTTCGGCAATTTAATGGTGCGTTTTGAAAGGCTGCAGGGCAGCCAATCAACAAGCGTTTGACTCGTGTGCCCTTAGAAGCCATCACAGCCATGCCTACTAATGGCATGGCTGTGATTGGCCAGTGCAGCATGTGACCCAGCCTCTATATATAAGCTGGAGTCATGTAGCGCTGCCTGTCACATGAGCTCTTATTAGTGTAGGGAGAGGATGCTTCCGCTTTGAGGGACAGGTTAGGAAAGAATTCTGGTGTTGAATCTGCAAACTACAGTGATTATTTTTGTGGGTGCTTTACTACATTTTTGTACCCTGCCCTGAGCTCAGTGCCACAGAGAGTGCAGTGCACTTGCAACTGCATGTGTGCCAGGCACATGACTTTAATCCTGTTCTGGTAGCTCAGTGGGCAATATTTAAGTATTTTTAAATACTGCAATTTTTTTGGTGCCAAATAGTACATTTGCAGACTGCATTTCTTGCACTCAAATAAAACCCTTAAATACTACTGTTACATTGTTGGTTTTAAAAAAAAGAAAATCACACATTTTGTGCTAAATAGTACATTTGCGGCCTGCGGTGCACTTCATATCTGAGAGTCAAATAGAATCCTCAAATACTGTGGTTACAGCGCATTTGACCAATTCAAATTTTTGGAGTGCTAAAAAGTAAGTTTGGGGTGTGCACTTCATATCTGAGAGTCAAATAGAAGCGTCAAATACTGCTGTGACATTGCAGTTTGCCTAATTCAAATTCTTTAGGTGCTAAAAAGTAAATTTGGGGCCTGCACTTCATATCTGAGAGTTGAATAGAAGCGTTAAATACTGTGGTTACATCGCACTTTGATAAATTCCCATTTTTTTGCTCCTAAAAAGTACATTTGGGGCGTGCAGTTCATATCTGAGAGTCAAATAGAACTGTCAAATACGAATTTCTAATTTTTTTTCCTGTTAAATAGTACATTTGGGGTGTGCACTTCATATTGTACCAGACAATCTACCTGTGTATGGTTTGTGTGATACAATAAGTCTACATCTTAAAAATGCAATAACCCACAGAAGATGGGCGAGAATTTATTTTGGCAAATGGAACTTTGATTCAAATTTACTACATCAGCATAAGAGGGAGCAGGATGCAAAAGCGGAGTGGCCATCCCCTAGCGCTCGTCGGCATGTACTAGCTCTAGAATTCCCACGGTTATCCAAGTAACAGATGGAGCGATCAAAGGAACCATAACTGATTTAATGACTCCTAATGAGCCATTTGGAGTTTCTGTGTAATGGCTGGGTGCGCTTTCGGCGTTCTCATTCTGCTGCTGCTCGCCTGTCTGCGCTGCAGGGTAACTTCGGCCTTCCCGCTCACCGCCGCATATGTGTACTCATTCCAATTACAGGGCCTCGAAAGAGTTGTGTATTGTTAGTTATTTATCGTCACTACCAACCCGCGTCGGGAGTGGGTAGTTTGCGTGCCTGCTGCATTCCTTGCATATGGTAGCCGTTTATCAGGCTCCCTCTCTGGAATCGAACTCTGATTCCCAGTTACCCGTGGTCACCATGGTAGGCGCAGAAAATAGCATCGAAAGTCGATAGAGCAGACATCCGAATGTGTTGTCGCTGTCAAGGGGACGTGCGATTGGCACGAGGTTATCACAGAGCAGCGCAGCCGCCTGTCCACGGCCAACGTGGACAAGCTCACGTTTATTAAAATGAACCATTCATGGATCACACCAGACTTGTCTGTACCTTGTGCAGAATAGACATTTATACCGGCCTCAACCAGCCATTGTTATACTCAAGTGCACTTATTCTTTGTTTTCTTTTTTTATATGTCCCAATATTTTGGGGGCTACCACAATTAAATTTTTTTTTTTTTAAATAAAAGTGTTGGCTACCACCTCCACTGCCGCTGCTTCCACCTACACCGCCACGGTGTATACCCAGATATATCAGAGCTGCTGCAGAAAGTGTGGACCGTCTGTGCACACTTTTGGTGCTCTCACCCTGCTGCTGCTCGCCTGTTTGCGCTGCAGCGTAACTTCGGCCTTCCTGCTCACTACCTCATATGCGACGCGCTCTCACCCTGCTGGTGCTCGCCTGTTTGCGCTGCAGCGTAACTTCGGCCTTCCCGCTCACTGCCTAATATGCAACGTGCCCACAAGCTGGAACTCCACCTTGCTCATGCTGGAGAGACTGTGTGAGCAGCAGAAGACGATAGCGGAGTTTCAGCTGCAGCACGCATGGGTCAGTCGCTCTGCGGAACAGCACCTCTTCACCACCAATGAGTGGGCCTCCATGCGAGACCTGTTTGCCATGTTTCAAGTACTCCACCAACATGGCCAGTGCCGATGACGCCATTCTCAGCCTTACTATACCGCTTCTATGTCTCCTTGAAAAAACGCTTAAGGCGATGAAGGAAGAGGATGTGGCACAGGAGGAAGAGGAGGAGGAAGAGGGGTCATTTCCACGGTTATCAGAACATTCATTCACAAGTGGCTCGGAGGGTGGGTTCCTGCACCAGCAAAATAAACAGTGTTGGCTACCTCCTCCTCCTCCACTGCCGCTTCCACCTACACTACATGGTCACCGCCTCCTCAACCTATGGGTCACTTAGTATGAACTATGTACACCATAGCAGAGGCTTGTGAAGGCCTTTTCTCCATGCATCAGGAGTTGAGCTCAGTTTGAAAAATGAAAGAATACCCTGCACTCCAACCCACTCTCAAATGGATAATTCTGGTGATCCTCCTGTTACGGTTGCCTGGAAGTTGCTCCTAGTGCTGACCAAAGGACCATCAGCACCGTAGACACTATAAGCAATGCAGACTCCACGAACCGCCGCTGCAGGGATCTCGCTGTCTATCCACCATGGACCTATGACCAGGCTCTAGGTTCCAGTAGGTGAACCTCTTCCTTCTGCAGAGCGAAGCAGGATCAGGAACAAGAGCTCTTACAAGAGCTCAGTAGCTAAGGGAGTATGAAGAGCATATCAATCCCTGTAGTGATTATAGCTGTCCCCTACAAACATGAGTCGAGGCTGCAAGTTAGAGAGGGTCAAGTCATTCTGTTCACTTGGCACCAAAGGGCCTTCTTTTATGCAGGTTTTCCTTACATAGGACCACCACCCACAGGGTTTTACAGAACAACCAATAACACACGTACATTCCAGAAAACACTCCCAGCAATTACACACAAAATCCTCCCCTCTGCCTGAAAAAGGCAGGAAAAATACAGTTTTTATACATGTACTATAACTTTAAAACCATACATCCAATCTTCATAAAAACCACATATTATTAATCAGCATTCTTTAAATATAAACATACTCAAATTCCTTAAAATCCGTTCAGTAGATCAAAAGTTAGACGGAAGTCCTTTATGACCGGTCGGTCTATTTCAGGCTAAAAAAAATGACCATCGCTGAACGGGACTTAGTCTCTGCGGCTGAAAGTTCAGTATGGGAGAAGGTACAGGTCAGCGGTGTTCGCGGAAATGTGTAGCCGATTTCAGTTCCATGGATTTGGCTACACATACCGCTGACCTCGTTCGAATGAACAAAGATGGCCGCCGCCACGTGTTCGTTTGCACGAACTGCAGCCACCCAGCATTCGGCAATTTACCTACAGCAATCCCACAACCTGGGAGGTAAATTGCATGCACACTTCCACTTCTGGGTGGTCCGCCTGTGTGGTACTTGGTTCAGTAAGCCCCATTTACTGAACCAAGTGTGAAATAGCCAGGAACAAAGGGTTTTAACCAAGTCTGGGGACACTGGGGACACAGGTTTAAAGTGGCAGTGTCCCAAACAAGTCTGGAGACAGCGTCTTAAAGTGGCATTGTCCCAATTTTCTCTATGTCCCAAAAATGTGCTTAAGGGGCCATCACCAGTTCCATAATAGTCCCTAAGCCCCAATATGCCCACTGACTGTCTTATTAGGGCCATACACCCTCGGTCCATAGTCATTGGGAAGGAGGCTGGAGATAAGGCTTCTCCATAATACCGAGAAGCAGGGCATTTTGTCACTGGAAATAAAAGTTACAAAAGGCAAGGCCTTTTGTAACACCTCCTGACAGCCATGCTTTAGATTTTGATTTATGTTCTTCCCAAGCTAAAAATCAAAGATTCCATCTAGAGCTATTTTATGGCTCAGATGCATTTTTCATTTTTATGTATTTTATGTTATTTTAAGTGATTTCCCTATCCACATTTGTTTGGAGGGCACCGGTCCTACTCTTACCCCCATTTTACTTCCTTTTGCAGCCCTCTAGCGTTTCCATTACTTTTTTTAGAGGCATTTTAGTGCCCAAAAGTTCTGGTCCCCATTGACTTCAATGGGGTTCGAGGTCACGTTCAGGTCAAGTTCGAGCCAGAACTCAAACTTTTTTACGAAGTTCGTCCGAACTCTGCGAACCCGAACATCCTGGTGTCGGCTCAACTCTACTCAAGAACATCAAAACTCACAAACACCAATACCATAACCTCACCCATAAAGAACAATCAGCCCTGAAAGAACTACAGAAAGATGAAAGCATCAGTATTAAACCAGCAGATAAAGGAGGAGGTTTAGTTATATGCTCTAAAACAATGTACTTAGAAGAAGCTTTTAGACAACTCAATGATCCTAATGTGTATGAAAAACTACCTCAAGATCCCACTACCACAATCCAAACTACTCTAGACAATTTTTAAAGAAAGGCCTTGAATCGGACATCCTAACAAAAAAATCATTTCACTACATTAATCAGCCTCACCCAAAAATCCCAGTTATTTATTTTCTATCAAAAATACATAAAAATGAACTTAATCCACCCGATAGACCCATCGTCTCTGGAATTAATTCTACATTATCCAACCTCTCAGAATAAATAGACATCATCCTACAACCCTCAGTCAAAAAAATGAAATCATCTCTCAAAGACACCATGACCTGATTTTTAAATAATTTTATATGGCAAGAAGACTACATTTTAGTAACTTGTGATGTTCAATCACTTTACACTATTATCCCCCACAATAAAGGTTGTGAAGCAGTTTACAATATATTAAAAGCAGAAACTATTATTCGAGATGAACAAATAAATATTATACAAGGCATACAAATCATTTTAAATAATTACTTTTGGTTTTTAGACTCTTTATATCCAAAAACAAGGCACGGCCATGGGGACCAAATTTGCCCCCAGCTATGCTAACCTATGTATGGCTGCTTGAGAAACTGACGCCATTTGGGGTGACCATATCTGGCAGGCAAATCTGGTCACCTACTTCTGCTACATAGATGACCTCTTTATTTGGAAAAGGTTCAGAATATTCCCTTAAATCTTTTTTAAATCATCTTAATGCAAACAAAAATATTATTTTAATTTCAGAATTTAGCCACAGTAGTATTAACTTTTTAGATTTACAGATTTTTATCCATAACAGAACCATTAACACCATTTTTTTTTTTAAGTATGCACCAACACAATCATAGACCAATCAAGTTGCCACCATAAAACTTGGTTAGCTGGCATACCTAAAAGTCAATTTATAAGTTTACGTAGAAACTGTTCCCATAATGATGATTTTATAGAACACTCTCAAAGAAATATTTATAGACAAAAACATTTCCTCATAAAATCTAGAGAGATCTCTTGAAGTAAAAGAAAAGAAATAGATCAGAACTCCCTGAATAGTCAAAAAGTGAATAAAAAAAAAAAAAAAACATTGGCATATCTTAACATTTTAAGTGTTATTTCAATATTTTTAGGAGCGCACATATTTTTCCAATATTTTTCCAATTTTTGAGCTTACATTCAATTCAGGTCGCTTGTAGATATATGTTGTAGCCCATTTAATTGTTTAACATTAATTACACCTTCTTATCAGTTTTCTACTATCTTACAACAAGACAACACTCTAAAAGATATAATTCCCGAAAGATCCAATGTAGTTTTTAGAGGTGCCCCAAGTTTTAGATCTATTTTAACTAAAAATTACACCAAATCCTCCACTAATCAATCTTTATCCTTTTTAAATCAATCAAAAGGCTTTTTCAAATGTAATAAATGTATAGTACGCAAAACGACAGACCATAACATTAAATCAAAAACTCTACACTTTACATCTAATATCACTAAAAAAAACTTACCCTATTAAAGAGAATCTGCTGAAACACTAAAAACTTAATTTATCTTCTGGAATGCCCATGTGGCTTCCAATATGTAGGGATGACCACCAGATGCTTAAAAATCAGATTAGCAGAACACTGCCGAAATATCATCAAAGTATATCCCAATCATTCAGTATTCAAACACTTTTTAATCCATGACAAAACCCCAAAATTTCTAAAATGTATCGGCATCCAAAAAGTCAAGCTTGGCCTGTAGTTGTGGGAGGGACTTGAATCCCCTTTAAAAGGGATGCCAATCCACTCTCACCTTACCGTTGCTGGTCTGGCGAGTCTGAAACATTTACTTCCGGTTCAGACCGCCATCTTGATTTCCTTACCTGTATTCCTCGTGGTCTCCTTGTCCGGTGCTTCCCTGCCTCTGCCACCCGTTGCTGGCGAACATGTAGCCAGTCCGTTCTTCGCTCCACATCGGGTTTAACCGTAAGTCTGGCGGAGCCCCGTTCGTTTGAACCAGCGTTTCGGTTCTTACGGTTATACATTTCGTACACTTACAGCATTCGGCTATTTCCCCTAGCCCTGTCTATACGCATGTTTCACATTGCTCAGTTACACGAACGCACTTTCAGTCTTCAAACGGCACTTGGGATGCATCCATTTCGTATGTTTCAGCACTCTATGCATCCCTAGTTCTTTTGGTGATTACAACTAAACTCACGACATAGGCACAAATTTCTCCCAGTACTCAATGTAATTTTGCCCCTACTGGTTACAAATGATATTACAGTCATTTATAAAATTCCACTGAGGGTTTAAAAATATAGATGATTAAGTCTGGATGTTGTAAAGTGATATTCCTGACCTTTTCCCACAGGTTCATACCAAGGAGTTCGTACTTAAGAATTGTGATTTCTGACATCTGAGTAAAAAATGTGTTTACTTTCTAGGTTGGTTGAAATTTGATTTGTGATTCATGCTTTGGGCCAAATGATACATTTAAAATTAGTTAAGCATGTCAATTTACTCTTTTAGGTTCTTGAACTTCGGACGGTAGCTTTTACAAGCACAAGAAAGTAGTCATCATCTTCCGTTTAAATACTACCCTCTGCATAGTGTCTGGTAGGTTCTTTTGATTTCGGGCCCATGATCTGGCCAACTACCACCATACACACAGACGCTTATATATTAATTTTCATGTCCACAGGTCACACCACGATACTATTACAATCGCTGTTTACCTCTACATTGACAGCTCGTCCTGACTCACATATCAGGTACTACGCCAGAACCCAGTACTTTTCTAATTTTAGAGTGGTACTGGTCCTAGGTTATGTAGCCCAATTAGGAATATATTTTCTGGTCTTAATCCATAGGCTAGTGATCCCGCAAGGCCAACACCCTCATCCTCATACTATGAGGTATACGTCCCTCGGGACAAATCATAACTAGCACGGTCGCACAGAGAGGGCCTCACCTGTCACTCCCATTCTATTTTATGCTTTAATTGCCACCGAGAGGCCAACACCCCGTCACAACGTTCGTGGCCTCATACTTTCCCCTCATGCCCATGCATAGGTAGTGCCTCTCAGGTCACTTGGCAATTAGCAGGGACTCATCTGTCACTATCACAAAGTAAAAGTGTTTCACAGCTTGGTATCTATCTGAGCTAGCCTCACCAGTACCCACCCAATTCATTACAGGGTGATATTCCTGAGGAACTTTCACTACCCAGCACACCCGCTAGGCCTGGTACCCCTGTTCCTGGAACAAATGTTAATTGTCCTTCATCCCTAAGATCATGGACCATCCCACGTCTCGCTGCAGAACTCAGAAGACGCTGCATCCCTTTTCCAGCTACCACTAGAAAGGTGGAGTTGTTTAGATTATTGAACACTACTATTGACAACTCCGATGCAGGGGAAGGCCGTAGTGGTAATTCCTTGGAATCTTTTTTGGTTATTGAATCAATTAATCCCTTGCATATGGTCTCATCTCACCTCAAAAAGGACATTCTGGAGGGCAAGGACGTAAACCTGGTTTCATTGCTCATTGCCTCCCAGGATGTCCTAGAGAACAGGACCTTTGCATACAGGGATATTTAAGTAGTGCTAAGGGCAAGAGACCCCCGGCCGAACAAAAAATTGTCCATCTCTGAATTTGTGCTGGGGTTTGGAATTTATAGGGATGTCTACTGCTTGGTTTACCCGGAGATGCACCCACAAATACGGTGGTGCATATATGCACAAGGTGGATCTGGGGCACAAATACGGTGGTACCGCTTTTTACGATTACCACCGTTCCTTTTCTGCAAAGGTGGCTGCAGCTTTGACTCAGTTCAATTTAAGCATAAATTGAAGCAAATTGAACATGGAGTTATTCTGCAGGCACTTTGCAGGCCTCAGGCCCCCAGCTTGTGCAGTGTGTGCATATACAGTGCATAGCACCAATTTCTGCCCAAACACGGCAGAAATTGAACAAAACCAAACTGCCTCTAACTTCCAAACTGGGTAGGGATATTGTATTTCTAGGCAAATCCCAAGTTTGCAACAATTTTAATGTGGGTAATTGTGGTTTCAGCTCTTGCAGGTTGATGCATGTATTTTCCCACTGTATCAGGGCCCATTCCAAGACAATGTGCCCAAACAAAGCTTTTCCCAAACCGTATCACACGTGCGTGAACCTCACATTATTAACCACACTGTTACGACAACACCCATCACGCCATATCATTGACTACCTTATCATGGGAATGACTGAGGGATTTTACACCGGGTTGGTACATTTACCTACCGGCACGCTGGAATGTGACAACCTACAATCCACATTAGATGATCCACAGTTGGTACACACTTATCATGACCGAGGTGAAACAAAGGTTTTTGTTGGGCCCATTCTTTTCACCACCCTTCACATCTTGGAGAACCAACCCCATTGGGGTTGTCACGGGGAAGACTTCACTCAAACCTAGACTAATCATTGATTTATCTGCACCACATTCCTCCACTATCCCCAGCCTTAATTCACTCATACCTTCAGAAGAATTTTCACTACACTACGTCACTATCGATCATGCCATAGGGGCCATCCTTAAAGCGGGCACAAGGGCATGGCTAAGCAAAACTCACGTGGTGAATGCCTTCAAATTACTACCCATGCACCCTTCCCTATGGCATCTTCACGGCATTAAATGGCAGGGATTGTATTATTTCTTCACCCGTCTCACTTTTGGCTCCAAAAGCAGCCCACACATTTTTGACACGTTTGCAGAAGCTTTGTGTTGGTTATTACTTATTATGTGTGTAAATGTCCTTCAGTTATTCACTATCTGGATGATTTCCTCACAATTGAGAACAACACACTCCCCCCAAGTAGTTTGAGACACATGTTGGCTTTGTTTGAATCCCTCACTATCCCAGTCTCCCCTCACAAGACATTGGGACCAGACACTAGCATGCAAATTTTGGGGATCCAACTAGACACGGTACACATGCAGGCTAGCCTCCCTCATGACAAGATTGAGCGTACCCTGGCAAGTATTGAACACTACCTACTACAAGGTTGTTGCAACCGGAAAGAACTGCAATCACTGCTAGGATCACTTAATTTTGCCATGAGGCTCATACCACAAGGTAGATCCTTCATTTCCCATCTACTATCCTTATTTCCACAATTCACCTCAGACACTTCACGAATTACGTTAGATGGCCACGCAAGCTCTGATTTACGCATGTGGGGTTTTTTCTCACCTCTTGGAACGGGCGAGCCATGTTCATACCACCCCTCTCTGACACTTCACCTACACTGTGGACAGATGCCACAGTAAATACAGGCTTTGCAGCCATCTGGGGAGATCAATGGCTTTGGGGACCATGGGCGACCGAAGTCAAATCACTGCCCAACATCTGAGACCTCAGCTTTATTTGAGTTGTACCCAATCGTAGCGGCAGCCATTGCCTGGGGACCACATTGGTCTGGTCACACGGTTAGGTGTTACTCGGATAATATGGCCACATGCCATATTGTCAATAAAGGCAGTCGGCATCCCTGGTAATCATGAGACTCCTAAGACGACTCACATGGGTAGCCGCCACCTGTCAATTCTTTATCACATGTATCCACGTTCCGGGGTACACAAACACCTGTGCTGATCACTTGTCTCGGTTTCGTTTTTTTAGGCTTTCTTCTTGACACTACCCACCGCTTCCAGACTGGTGACTCCTGCTCCACTTTTTCGAGACATGATAATGGATTAAAGGCTTTGTTAAATCACACATGTCACATTTCTCACCTCACACTTACAGTAAACACCAGGAACACATATGTTAGGGCCTTTCACCTATTCAGGAAATTTATCACTGAATTTCACATCCACGACATGTTTGCTTTCCCTCACTTCCTGTATTACCAAGAAACATGCATGCTGTGGCTATTCCTACCTATGGGGAGCTGCAGCCTTCTGCCTTTAGAAAAGGAGCTTCTTTCTACTCCCTTGCGGTCCAATGACATGAGGTACAGTGGAAGGGCTGATTGAGAGCCGGGGATGGGCTTTGCAGCCTGCTGCAGGGCGTTACAAACCCTCAGTTAGGTCCTGCAGCATTGTGTTGGGCTTCAACAGAGTGCCATAGCATCAGCTGTTTTTGTTCTGCAGAGATATTTAAAAATCCAAGTCTCTGGCCAGGGGCTAGAGATTTGAATGTTGTGCCCCCCACTGTGGTGCCCTGCCTGTGCCGCCTTATGGACGTGTCTGGCCTGGCTACAGCTTAGTGTAGTCACTGATTATGTTTCTAATAGTCTAGGTGCTATCCTCAGATTTAACTTAAAGGAACACTATAGTCACCTAAATTACTTTAGCTAAATAAAGCAGTTTTAGTGTATAGATCATTCCCCTGCAATTTCACTGCTCAATTCACTGTCATTTATGAGTTAAATCACTGTTTGTTTATGCAGCCCTAGCCACACCTCCCCTGGCTATGACTGACAGAGCCTGCATGAAAAAAAAAACTGGTTTCACTTTCAAACAGATGTAATTTACCTTAAATAATTGTATCTCAATCTCTAAATTGAACTTTAATCACATACAGGAGGCTCTTGCAGGGTCTAGCAAGCTATTAACATAGCAGGGGATAAGAAAATCTTAATTAAACAGAACTTGCAATAAAGAAAGCCTAAATAGGGCTCTCTTTACAGGAAGTGTTTATGGAAGGCTGTGCAAGTCACATGCAGGGAGGTGTGACTAGGGCTCATAAACAAAGGGATTTAACTCCTAAATGACAGAGGATTGAGCAGTGAGGCTGCAGGGGCATGCTCTATACACCAAAACTGCTTCATTAGGCTAAAGTTGTTCAGGTGACTATAGTGTCCCTTTAAGATCTTGTATGGGAACAGTTTAATAAAAAAAAACAGAGCTCTCAGTGGTATCCAGGGACCTCAGGGTATCAGACATCAATAATCCATAGTTATCTATGTTAAATTCACCTAAACTGGACAGAGGCAGCTAGAAAATAGTGTCCAAAAGCTCTTAAAAACTAGGGTTTATTTACTAAACGTGAAACTATAGGGAATTGAAAAATATTAATTAAAATCTCCAACTCGCCTATAGTCCCAGCCGGTTTCCCTAAATGTTTAAAAAAAAAATCATTTCACTATAGTATGTATTTTAGTAAATAAACCACAATGTTTTGTGGAAGCTGTCATGATCAGGACTCTCATTACCGTCTTGTTTCATATAAATTTCCCTACTAGTTACATAGTTACATAGCTGAAAAGAGACTTGCGTCCATCAAGTTCAGCCTAGTCAGTTTGTTTGTAAATCATTTATATTTCACAGCACTGTGGAACTTGTTGTCCCACCCAGAGTCTACTGATGTGAAGACCAGATCTACCAATATCTATAACCATCTCACAGATCATGTCTATTTATTCCCCTCAGGTTGGTGGCAAGGTATTACAGGGGGAGTACAAGAGACAGCTGATGATCTACTGATTTATGCTCTGGATAATATAACAATGAATGACTTCAAACGTTTTAAGGATAAATTGTCAGATTTTACATATGAACGTAAGACTCCCATCCCACGTGGACCTCTGGAAAATGCAAACTCCCTTGACACAAAGAATCATCTGATAAAAACTTATGGAAAGGATAAAGCTTTACAAGTGGCAATCAGTATCTTCAGATCGATAAATCTGATGGGACCGGCAGAGGATCTTGTAAAGAAAATGGAACGTATTGGTAAGGTCATTTCCACTTTCTGAATTAAGCAAATGTATTGTCCAATATGTCTTTCACAAGTACAGTGCAGTACATAAGCAGCTTAGCTTGGAACAGGTCTTAATGCTTAATCTAGTATACAATTATGTGTAACCCCCCAACACACAAACACCACCTTAATAGTCTCACATATTCATTATACATACACATAGCTTTTAAAAATATTGAGAGCGGGGCTTAGCGACGGATGAAAATGGCTGCTTAATTTCTCTCTGCTCAACTGCCTCATGTTTTTAAGTGAAAATATACCCACTTTTAAGATGCAAATGACGAAAATTCATCAAGCGGCAGATTCTAAAATGGGGTCTAATCCCTCTTCCCTCTGGCAATACCTCTCCACTCAGCTGGAACTGGCGTCTCAACCCATGTCAGAGGAGGCTCGGGACAGACCGAGGTACATCACCCTAAACCTCTCCCTGGCGGAATGATCCCCTACCTCCGCGGACCAAGATTGGCTACTGGTCTTGAGGGCCCTGGGTACACCTGCTGTTATAACTGCTGACAAGCTTTGATCTGAGCTGACATCCAGGCCCTGAGAGACCAGGTAGAGGCTGTATGTGACCAGCTACAGGGGGCTCATGCCCAGTCCAGTAATACCATGCAGAAGCAGGCAGATTACCTGAGGGGCTTAGCCATCCACACTAAAGACTGGGACAACCTGGGAGGCACAACAACCTCTGGCTACAGGGCCTTACAGGGAATGAGGACAACTCTGCACAATTGTGCTCTACCTTGGACAAAATCTTCAATGGTCTGCTGGGCAGGGATAAGCCTACCCCAATTGCCTTATTTTGGACCCACCATACCTTAGATTTGAGGGGACCCCGGAATGCGCTGCCACAAGATGTGGTGTGTTTGGAGGTATTTGCAGAGCGGGAACCCATATTACTGACTGCCAGGAATGTTAGCATGCTCCAATATATAGTTGCAATTGTTACCGGACTTATCCCCACCACACTGCACTCACTCACATTAAGGGCTGTTTACAGCTAAAGGGAGATGATACAGGTGGATTTTACCAAAAGGGCTGTTGGTAACTAGGATTAACCCGCTCTGGTTTGAATGCGTGAAGACTTTGTACATTTGGGGCAGTGATGTCCCTGCCTCCATTGAATATTTAATGGCCAGACCCAGGGGATTTTTATCTGCTGGATACTGGGAGACCTGCGGCCGTGCCTCGAAAAGACTGGAGGGCCAGCCAGACAACCACCAGAGCTGGCGGAATGCCAGCATGATCTCCTCGCTCTCCTTATGGGCTCAGTATTTTTAGCACTGATCATCTGAAGAATTTTCTCTTTTGAAAGCTTGATCCTAGAAGTGACCGAAACTGACACAGTTAAGTTTCCTATGCTTTCCTAGATGCTATATCCCCCTCATACCATGTGCCCTCTCTTCTTCGCTCCCTCCACCTCTATTACCCCGCCTCCTTCTCCTCTCACCCCCTCTCTGCTTTCTCTCTCCCCTCCTCCTCTCACCCTCTTTCTCTCCCCCTCCTCCTCTCACCGTCTTTCTCTCCCCTCCTTTTGGGGGGAGATATTAACATTGCACTCAATCCACAGGTAGACCCCTTGGCAGGCACACCTGTAGTCCTTGAACACATCCTCCAGATGATCATGAATCTCCTCCATACACATCATTTGTCTGATTGTTGGCAGGTCATGCGTCATGATGGCAGAGATTAGTCACACTACTCCATACCTCATGCCAGTTATTCCAGACTGGATTATTTTCTTGTTCCTTATTCCCTCCATGCAGTTCAATTTAGGTACAAGGACTCAGACTGACCATGCCCCACTGACAATGAGCTTGACATCCTCCTTTTTAGACCCCAAACCACAAATTGGTGATTCAACAAGACCCTCCTCTCTGACCCACTCATTTTACAAGATGCAAATTGTACTTTGACACATTACTTTACCAATTTCATGACATCTGACACCCCCGTGGTGTGGGAGGCTCATCAGTGTACCATTAGGGTTTTTATCACTGCCATGGGGGCTGCAATGAAAAAAAAAGAGTAGAGAGACCGAAATCCATAAGCTCACTCACAAAATTCACATGTTATAGTCAACCCGTAAAATCGAATCAGACATTGGTCCCCTTTCAAAAACTCGCTGCACACTTCTTCACAATTAACTACACACTAAGGCTTATATTTTTGTGACAAACGTAGCAGATTGCTTGCTCACATTATCAATAAAAAGTACTAAATAGGAGACAAAACCCTGGATGTCCGGGGAATCCAGGTAGAACATACAGTGCATTAGGTGGTTACTTATGCAGACAATTTGATATTTTTCATTTCCTCACCTGAGTCTACAATCCCTAACATAATGGAAGAGTTTGGTCAATACCGAGAGCTCTCTAATTTCAAAAAATAACTATTCTAAATCCAACATGCTGAATATTACATTGCCAACTAAGAACTAATATGCTACATCAGAACTTTCAATTCCAATGGTTGGTAAGGGCAATCAAATACTTGGTGATTTGGCTAACAAAAGATATCTCCCAGCTGTATCACACTTACTGTACACCCATGCTGACTACTTTCCAGAAGGACTTGCAGGAGTGGATACTGCCTCCTATAGCCTGGTTAGGGTGCATGTCTATACAGACTGAAATACGAACAATTGATACGGTTTATGAGCCACATACACCAAAAACCTGACTTGTATTGAGCACTTAACCTTTTTGAGCTTCTGTGTAATGACCCAAATCCACAACTTAGTGCCATTTTTTATCTATACTCCTTGCTACAACAAAACACTAATTTCCCATCTACCCATTTATGTGTAAATGTGAGAAGGCAATTGGGGATACTTTTACAGATCTGTGATTTGGTACACAACTGTGCATTGACCAGTAAAACTCAGGAAATCGCTCATAAAGTTTTGACACTCTGGTACTGAACACCACAACTTGGTGTTGTCATGCCGCTACTAATACATTTTTACACATTTGCTGGGAATGCCCTAGGAACACACCATTTTGGGAGGCCATTTGTGCCATCTTGAAGAGGTTTTCTTACAACCGTCCCACCTTTTAGCCCACCCCTTTTCTCTTGCATCATGCTGTTTTGGATCAAATTCAAATGTTTGATTATTTTGTCTATCTACTCCTCCAAGTTTGAATTGCATGCATGCTCCTATTAGTAATTCACACCGGAGACACGAGTATCTGGGTAATGAAAAACCTGAGGAATGGTTTATTCCAAGGGGTGGGATCCCGTTTTAAAGCAGAAATACGTCATGTACGGAGTCACAGTTAACATAAAGTATACATTCAAGAATTGGTTAACAGTCTAAGGGGTTTTGTCTAAACCCACCCTACTGGGCGTGACCCCAGCATCATCACATGACTTTTCTTTGTATCCCAGTCCCATTCCAACCCCATTTTACTACACGTGGCATGTGTCTAGAGAGAGCCTTTACTTGAACAAAGGAAGCGGGGAGGGGTTAGGAGGGAAGCAGCTCCATCTTGGTTACACGATGGTAGGGGGAGCAGGATGAGAGGGGTTAGTGTAGGAACAGTTACAAACACACAAGGGGGAGGGGGAAGGGAAGACAGTTACTGTTTCAGCCAGTTTAACACAGTGAATACAGATACACAGAATAAATAGACATTAGTAAATAGACATTTTATCCATTCAAGTATTTTGTTCATAACAATACCACCACATCAGTGGCTAGATAAAATAAATCCCTCACTATACACTGTAAAACGAGTATTTCCATATTTATTGAAAATAGGACACACTTCAGCTCAGAGACTTACCCAATCACATGTAGATACATGGACACATTGGTTGACAGTTGCCTATCAATCAGATTTTCAAAGACTTTTGACATATGGACATCTCAGGCTTTATTGGCTTGGGATGGAGTCTTGAGTCACCGGTTGAGAATGCATACCTGATATTTCAGAGGCATGGACCTTCTTGGTTTTGTTGCACATTACCTTCTCAGGTAGGGACTGTTGCCATATATATAAGCTCCGATCCAGTACCAACACTTTACTTAGTCTACCTCAATACAAAAAGAAAACGGCCCGATCCTCCTTCTCCTACAGAGCACCGCAATTGTGGAACGACCTCCCGCACAATTTATTCCTTAAAGAGATCCCTCTCTACATACCTCAAAACAGAATGCACCTGTCATGGTTGATTATATATTTCCTACCTGTTCTATGTTACATTTTGTATTTATTGTGTATTAATATTGTTTTTGTATTTTATTGTACCCTAATGTAACAATGCAATGATTTGTGGACCCAGGACATACTTGAAAACGAGAGAAATCTCAATGTAGCTTTCCTGGTAAAATATTTTATAAATAAATAAATATTATACTGGATCATATAAGTGAAATGGGTCTTGCTGGGAAGGGCATGAAACTGGCATGGGCTGAAAATATGGTTCCTTTTGTATTGGCTTTCATCACTATCCTGGAAACAAAACTTTAATTTAAAAAAAAAAAAAAAAAAATACTTTAGCATCATAATTGGATGTAAGTGTATTTTATATATCTGTTCAGTTGTATATGGGGATATATGAATCTATTTATTGTAGCTTGGTAGTTAATCATTGTCAGGTTTCATCACCTACACTATGATTTAATGATAATGTGAGATAAAAGAAGAATTTGTAGACTAGTAATACTGTTATAAAGTAAATCATTGTAATGAACATTCACTGAATGTAGGTTAAATGAAGTTCAGGTACCAGAAGTAAGAACTAACTCCCCAGAATTGAATAATTCTGGAATAATTTAGACACACTATTTTCAGTGATGCTGCTAATAAAATTAGTGCAATTCAGGCCTGTGTCAAAACCTCCTCCCAGTGTTGTTACTGTTAGACACCGTTTGTGTGTATTTATTATATATTTTTCTCCTTTTGAGTTCTATTTTTCATTTTTCAGGTTTGTTAAATATATCAGATGAAAGTCTGGAAGGTATGTAAAGCTTACTATATTATATTTTATATAAAGTATTGCTCATCTATAACAAAAACCTGTAAAAAAAAAAAAGTTAACTTGACATGCTTACTATATACCCAACATGAGATTTAAAGCACCTATTGCTAGATTTCCTTAACATTAGGAAGATTTCAAAGCAACCTTGGGGTTATTAAACTATTAAATGAAATGAGCAAATTCTGTGATAATCATTTGAGGTTATTCAGACCCAGAATTGGATCTCTCCAAAATTATCTACTTATCTAAACTGACCACTAATGTCCCCTGAAATAGTCCTGAATGTGTAAATTATTAAAATTATGCAAATAATTAAAAAAAGTTAGAGATACTATATTATTGCCACAAGATGTATACCCAAATATGCAGGTACTGGGAATCCCTACAGGAGAGGCAGAGATAGATGTATTAGAGAAAGAAAGTTGGAATGCTAGCCAAGGTTATGAATACAGATAAGCAGATGTACTAGCAAAGTCAGTGTTACAGATAATCGGAAATCACAGAACAAGCCAGGTCATGGTCACAGAGGTACTCAAAATTCCAATAAACTAGCCAAGGTCAAAACCAATAAACTCACAGAAAAGGAATGCACTAAACACAAATTAAGTTAGAAACCATGGTAGGGCACAGAACTAGGGACAAAACTGGAATTAATAGGTTCTGATTGGTCCACATCACCCCAGATGACTCCAGAAAGTGTGGAAATTAGGTCACCCGGGTGATGCAACCAATTCATAACCAGAAGTGATGTTGCTTCAATCAACTGGCATTTAAGGATGTGCCCTTAGAGTGGGCAGTATCCGAATTTCTAGACTGAAGACGATCACACGTTTGACCTTACCATTGCTCACACAGTCAGTCAAATGTAGAGTTATGGGTGAGCACTTACTCTGAGTTTACAATAATGAGTTATGAGCACACACAGTTACAAGCAGCCACATACAGTCACAGGCAGAAAGTCATAAACATTTACACACACACACACACACACACACAGATACAGGCAGACAGCTCGCACGCCCTTAAGGCCAGCCTTGACAGGAGCCAACTGGGCAAGTCTTTAGCAGCCAAATCCAAATCAGCAATCAGAAGTAGTTCCAAGGTCAAGTCAAAGCTCATACATAGCAAATTCAGATCAGCAGAGAGTGACAAAAGATAAAAGGAAATGTTTGCAATGAGGGCACAGGTTAGTTATTGACAATAACTCAGTGTTTAAGTTAAGGTTTTACAAATCGTTTAACTCTTCCAATGGTGCAAGGGAATTGTGTCAACGCTCTTCATCCATTGGATGGACAACATGGCAGCCAGTGCATGTAAAGCTGAGATTAGTGATGGTGCTTCCAGTCACTGCTGCACACTCCATGTTTCCATTGAAACTGTGTTTGAGTTATACATTGGCAGGATTTCAAAGTGAATTTCAAATTTAAGGCCAAAGTATCTGAACTGGTAGCAAAGCTGACATAGAGAACATTTCCAGTTCGGTTATTTTGAAGCATCTGCCATTTCCTGGAAGGATTATACCACCAATGGAAAGCTGCACTGTACATGGGCATTTGCACATTTCTTAATCACACTTCCTAATGCAGACTTTAAATTGAAGGATCTGGTGTTTCGAAAGTGTCACGGGTCGCAGGTTCTGTTCGTGTCCCTTGGTCGCCGCTTCTCTAATCCTCCACTGGTCCTGGGATTCAGCTACAGCATACAGTGATTATAGCCTTCTGGAACCTTGCAAAATTCCCCAATATAGTGGACAAGACCAGTCGTATTGGGTAAAACAAGAGTACTGTTTTTAATGGGACATGATACAGCCAAGTTATACACAGACCCCCAGCACGGGTCTCCATACAATTACACACAAACTCCTCCCCTATGCCTGGGTGATAGGTACAAAAAAAAAAAAAAAGGGTCAATCTGACTGAATGGGAGGTCAGAGCCCACAACCGAAATTCCTCTTCGAAGCAGGGACCCCAACAGAGCTACTCTGTAAGGTGCGAGAAGTCACACACACACACACACGGCCTGGAAGTCTGGTTTCAGTATACACTAACTCATTTGCCATATGTCTTGATTCCCTCAAAAAGAGTCCTTTGATATGAACAAGCCTTTGGTTCCAATAGCACATCCAAAAGGGACATCAATACCCACCCGCAGATCAATACTCAAGCTTCACCTTTATCACATTTAGAATGGGACAAGCACAATCTTCCAATCCTAAACATGATAACTTAATTTCCTGCTGGACTACATGACACAGAGCACAATAGCTTTTACATAATACAATTAACACAATAGCTTTCATCCAGCTCAACATTTTACATAATAACTCAACATTAACACAATGTAACCCCATATCCTATATATGATTTTAAAGTCTGTGACCAGGCCCAAAGTCTGTGGGCAGGAGGCTAGCTGTTATGCCTCTCCAGCAGGCTGTGACACGGGAGCTTCTGTCACTGAAAGAATTTTATGTTATTGTACTATTGGAGTATTGTACTCCATGCAAGAACACTTAATTAGTATCTTATTAACCCTTTTTTTATTGGACTAACAGAATTTGGGAAAGACAAGCTTTCAGGAGATCCTCACTCTCAGGGTCTTACCTGGGTTGGGAGTCTGTAGCGCAGATATGTTGCTCACCCTTGCAGATAGCTACAGGCCAAGGTGGTCAGGTAAGAATTCACCCGGCCTGTGGGTCTGTGCACGGGGGCTGTGCAGGATGAAGTACCAAGTCGCAGGACAGGCAAGGACTCAAACAGCAGGATCGTCAAAGGATAGCCGAGGTCAAAGGATGCCAGAAGACAGGAACAACGAGGAGTAGCCGAAGTCAAGGGATGCCAGAGGTCAGAGTAAATGTAGTCAGAAGCCGGGGTCAATAACAAGTAGCAGCTCAAACAACAGGAACACTGGTACAAAGCACACAACAGGATCAAAGACTTGATGCTGATCACAGGGCGAGGCTGAGTTTAAATACCCTGCTAATGTCTGATCAGGGTCAGGTGAAGCACATCCAAAGTCAAGGTACAGCCCCCAGAGTAACAGACATGCCAGGATGAACAGGACCAGAATGACATGTGGAATACAAAAGCTGCTGTGGCTCAGAGGAAGGAATCAGGACTGCGAAGTTCCCTGGTTCAAGTCCCTTGTTGGGAACTCCATGGGTGACCACGTCTGGCCGTCTGTTTGCTGCGGCGAGAACCGTGACAGTACCCCCCCCTTCAAGAACACCCTCCGGGTGTGATTTGGTTGCTCATCATTACCTTCCAGATCAGAAGTATCTTTTTCCTCTGAGAGATCAAATACATCATCTGGCAGGAGGTACGTTCTTCCATAGGCATCCATGCCATACGTACGGCCTTCTTCCAGATTAGAGGGAAACACAGCACCTACTGTAGCCTTTGCTCTAGTAGTTCTCACAGGGGAGGTATTCGCAGCTTTCAATGCTTTTTCAAATATTTCTAGATCCTGTTTGCATACAACTGTGCCATTTGAGGCATACGTGCAGTCAGGTGGCAGAACTTTTTTGGCAAGTCAGGAAGTGGTAATGGTGCTTGCTTGAGCAGAAGTGTCATCAGGAAGAGGTCTAGATGTTTCTGGAGCAGGAGGTGGAGATTCCACAGGGGTACTGGTTGCAGGTTCTTGAGGGACACTGGTAACATTGACTGTAGTAGTTTGGGTACCCTTTTGTGTCACAAGACGGGGACACGGCTGGCATGCAGTGTACACAGGGTGGAGGAAAGTAGTACCCAGTCGGAGAGCTGGAGGTCTAGGAGGACGAACAGGGCAAAGTGTGATGAAATGCCCTCTTTCTCCACAGTAGTAACATAGGCCATGGCTTCTCCTTCGGTCTCTTTCCTCAGGTGTCACTTTGCAGTGAACAAGTCCTGATTGCATAGGTTCCTCAGGGTCGAGTGGAAAACAGGATACCTCAGTTTTCATAGGAACAGGATCATAAGGAGACATCACTGGGGTGTAGTGGTGGTACTGGGTTTCTTGGTTACGAAGAATCTGAGATTTTTTGGTACGTGGAGCTGGCTTGGTCACAGTGGTCTTGCATTGTGAGTCCATAGCGGTACTGAAGGATTCCCAGCTGACAAGGACAGGACTCTTTGTCTGCAACATTTGGTGAGCCCATACTTTGATGCATCCAGACAACAGGTTGATAGCCGCTCGGACCTTGATGAAATCTGTGGCATATGTTCGAGGCTTTAAAGAAAACAACACCTCACAATCCATCTTAAAGGACTGAAAGGATGTGCGGCTACCATCAAAACGGTCGGGCATGATGACAAACGGTTCAGGATAAGCTGGTTCCGGGGCTGGACGTACTGCGCCTTTAAGAAATAAAATTTCTTGCTGCAACTCCAAAACAGTCTGGGCCAGGCTGGACACTGGTTGGGACAGGGATGAGCACATCTCTGCGGACTGCATATTGATCAAGTCTTTTGACAGGGTCTTACCTGGGTTGGGAGTCTGTAGCGCAGATATGTTGCTCACCCTTGCAGATAGCCACAGGCCAAGGTGGTCAGGTAAGAATTCACCCGGCCTGTGGGTCTGTGCACGGGGGCTGTGCAGGATGAAGTACCAAGTCGCAGGACAGGCAAGGACTCAAACAGCAGGATCGTCAAAGGATAGCCGAGGTCAAAGGATGCCAGAAGACAGGAACAACGAGGAGTAGCCGAAGTCAAGGGATGCCAGAGGTCAGAGTAAATGTAGTCAGAAGCCGGGGTCAATAACAAGTAGCAGCTCAAACAACAGGAACACTGGTACAAAGCACACAACAGGATCAAAGACTTGATGCTGATCACAGGGCGAGGCTGAGTTTAAATACCCTGCTAATGTCTGATCAGGGTCAGATGAAGCACATCCAAAGTCAAGGTACAGCCCCCAGAGTAATAGACATGCCAGGATGAACAGGACCAGAATGACATGTAGAATACAAAAGCTGCTGTGGCTCAGAGGAAGGAAGCAGGATAAGGACTGCGAAGTTCCCTGGTTCAAGTCCCTTGTTGGGAACTCCATGGGTGACCATGTCTGGCTGTCTGTTTGCTGCAGCGAGAACCGTGACACTCACTTTCTCAAGTGTAAAACATTTTTGAAGCAAAACAACCCATAGAACTTAAAGCTGGGCTGTGATGAATGAGTTAAAGCGACACCAGAGCAGATAACACCCCGGTATGATTACACAGGTATAATTAGAGTAAAAGGAAAGAAAAGAAAGAAAATAGACATCATTCTAACAGAGTCCTAGAGATTCTGTAAAAACTGAGCAGTTGTCACGGTAGTTTACCCCAACACGCAAGATTTAGTCCAACAATTGACAATATAGAGCAGATAGGTCTTACCGGACCTTAGAATGGCCGGACTCGCTGTAGAGCAGAGAAAGACAGAGTCAGGAACGAGCCGAGGTCAAGGGTACAAAGAGACCGCCAAAAAAATTACTAGCCAAGGTCTGGTACACAGTAATCAGTAAGCCGGCAAACAAGACAAAACAGGGATAAAGAGATAAACGGAGTCAGAATCAAAGCTAAGGTCAAGCACGAAAAAAATCACAACTGAACACAACAAGCGCTAAAGGGAACTGAAACAGAAACCACGATAGGGCAGGGGGTTAAGGGAGAGGTAAGTATAAATACCCTAGCCTTTATTTGATTGGCCCCTGTCATATCCACACCCCCAAAATGTGAGTGTATGGGGAATGTGGGATGACAGGGGCCAATGGGAGACCGTTGTACATTTTGGCTCCACTGTCCCTTTAAGAGCGTGCCCGAGACGCGCAGCACGCTCTTAGAGCTAGGCGGAACACGTGAGTGCATCTCGCAGTCAGTGCCCGCCTTCATCTGAGCGAGCCGCGCACAACGGTAGTAGAGGACCTTGGCCGGACCCCGGATAAGGTAAGTACCGTTACAGCAGTGAGAAGGAAAGAAAAGGAGGAATATAAAAAAAAATAATAATAATTTTTACCATCTTTTCCAATGTACTTCCTGTTTCCCTTACATCCTGTGTCAGATGCTTTTTGATTCTTCCCTTCCATTTTTAGGCCTCCCAATCGTCCCAATTTCATCAGGACAGTCCTGACTTAAATCCCTGGTGTCCTGCTTTTGGGGATACCAGGAAACTGTCCCCAGCAAGCATACACGAGAGCATTATTAGATGTGCTCATGTTATTGTAAAGCGCTACAGAATCTGTTGGCATATATAAATGGAGATGATAATAATGTTATGACCAGGACACTAGGACCTTGCTGGGAGTAATGAAACAGTGTTCCAAGCAGGGTTTTTCCATCAGTGGGAAGAGCTAGTCCAGGTCATTTCCAGATAAGCAGTCAAAAAGTATACTTCACAAACGTAATAACCATTTTGTGTCTATTAGCTAAGAATCAATCAATCAATCCAATTTGCGGTCTTGGTACAGTTAAAGGTGATTGGAAGAGAAATAAGGCATTTAATGCAAGCCAGGATGTTGTTCAGGTTTTCAGTCCAAATGGGGAGATTGGGAATAAGGAGATGAGATACGAGGAAATAAAAAAATCGGTTATTTCCACGTATTCTGAAGAAACATGGGCAAAGGTAGGTTCGGCATGATGGAGGGGATGCTAATGGGGAGAAGATTAGATTAACAGTCTCAACAATCGAGCACTGAACCATGGTACAAGCAGTGTTTATATAGAAAAAACAAACAAACAGATACACATTTTTTACCGTGATAACACTGATTACTAACGTGTGCTGATTATCTTCTGGGCTCTGTGACATATCCATACACCATGCACATCACTGTGGAATTCATATATCAAACCGTGGTTTATGGGGAATTTAAAACTGAATTGAAAATTCTAGGCTAAAATAGTCATGTTGGAAAGCCAGCTAAATTTGTATCTTTTTCCATTGCAGTAATTTTGGCCAATGTTTTTTTAGCCTTATTTGCGGTTCCTCCGTTTTGTGTTTATTGCATAAACCTTTTGTGAGTTTTATAAGTTCAGCAATACATTAATTCAAGCCGCACTTCTAAAACAATTGCCCCTCATCCTTGCCTCATAAAGTCTACCCAAGTCAGTTGTCTTCTCTTCCCTCACCATATAATTTCTTTCATCCTTCCGTCCTTCCATTCCCATTTCTCGTGTCTCATTCATTCTCTCCCAAGAAGCCACTTGCCCCATCTCTCCATCCGCCTCCTGGTCACTTGTGCACATCTTTCCTAATATTCCCCGATGTCAGCTGCTTCAACCAGTCATTTCTCTGATCCTATTTAACCCGCCCTATCCAGCTTTTGCGTCCTCTATATTTTAATTTTCCAATCCGACATGCATAACATGGCAACAAAAGTATTATAAGCCAAGCTGATCTCAATGATTTATGTATTATACATTACAATTAATATAACACTCTCATTCACAGTTGTCAGAAAAAAATACATGGATAATATAAAGAATAAATACCAACAGTTTGAAGACAGAAATGCCCGTTTGGGAGAAGCTGTTCTTTTAAACAGAAGATATACAAGACTACGGATGATAAAAAAGCACCGTGATCAAGAGGAGAGAGCGCATGAATTAATATATTATGGTAGAAAACATCTAGACCTAATGGACAAATCTTTAGAGGAATATTCTCCAACCACTATGGAAGCTCTGTTTGATCCTGGTGAAGATGGAATCACTCCTGCGACTGTGGTGCTACAAGGACCGGCTGGGATTGGAAAAACTATGACTGTTCAAAAGATCATGCTTGACTGGGCCTTTGGAAATCTATATCAGGACAGATTTAATTTTATCTTTTATATCAGTTGTAGGGAGATCAATCACTTCACAGATAATATAAGCATTGGTACTTATATAGCCAGGAGCAACAGATTACAATGCCAACATAATCTGATTAAATCTATTTTTGAAGATGCTGAAAAAATCCTTTTTATAATTGATGGTTTTGATGAATTGGATTTCCTCCTTGGGAATGAAGCAGAGATTAACATAGATACATTCCAAGAGACTCCCAAAGAAATTCTTCTAAATTCTTTATTCAGAAAACAGATTTTTGAAAAGTCTTCACTGATTATCACCACAAGACCATATACCCTAGAGAAACTAAGGGAGATTATTAGATTGTCCCGTTATGTAGAAATTATGGGATTTACTGGTGAAAACCGGGAAAAATATTTCTCCAATTTCTTTGAAAGTAAACAACAAGCAGATAAAGCTCTGAGTTTAGTGAAACAAAATGACACTCTGTTTACATTGTGTACTGTCCCTATTACATGCTGGATTGTATGCACTGTTCTTAAACAACAAATTAAAAAGGATTTCAGTTTGATTAATAATAACACCACCACCTCTATTTACGTGCTTTATCTAAAGAGTTTGATAAAGTACCATGGTAGAAGCTCCAATCAATGTATAAGCTCCTATATAAAGAAATTTGGTGCTTTAGCCAAGGAAGGAGTATGGAATCAGAAAATCATTTTTGAGGAAGAAGACCTAGAAAGGCATGCAGTTACTGTGTCAGACATTGCATCTCTCTTCCTGAATGAGAACATCTTTCAAAGGGACATTGAGAGTCAAACCTGTTACAGCTTTGTACATCTGAGTGTACAGGAGTTCTTTGCTGCTCTGTATTATATACTGAGCGAGGAGACAGAAAGTTGGGATGTCTCGCAGTTTACTACTTCACAAGGAGAAGTCAGGCCACACTTCACATTAACTGTACGATTCTTGTTTGGACTTGCCAATGAAAAACTAAAAGCAGCGATCGGTGAAATCACTCAGTGTAAAGTATATCCTGCATTTAAATCTGTCTTGGAAGAACTGGTAACAAAATATAAAGTGAAACATTATCATAATGAAATACTGAACTGTTTGTATGAGACTCAGGATGAAGACTTTGTTAGAAGAATGATGTCTCAAATAGTAGACCTGAGGATTGAGGAGATGGAAGAGAATTCAATACACCAATGTCTGTCTTACTGTTTGATGAAAACCAAATGTGTTCACAGCCTTTCTATGGAGAAATGTTCACTTAATCCTGAGACACTAAGAGCATTAGCTCCAGGACTTCACAACTGTTCATCAATTGAGTAAGTATTTTAAACAATTGGGGACATGATTTGTGATGATCATTAAGGTTAGGGGGTGAGTAGTGTGATAATGGCAGGTACAGTAAGGATATAGCAAGTTGTGATTGGAATTATCCAACAAAAGAAACCACAATTAGACACAGAAATAGAATGACAAGCCCCACTAGCGTAGCACAGTGTAATAGTGTAGAGCTGTCAGGATTACAAGTTGATCCAGCACGCAGTACTGTGCCACACCTAGGACTAAGGATAACGTATAACCGGACCTTAGAATGGCCGGACTTAACGTCTCTAATAATAGTCAAAATACTAGCCGAGGTCAGGAACACAGAATCAGACACAAAGATGAGGGAAAGCCAGAAGTCAAGGATACCAGATATCAGGGAAGCCAAATACCAGAAAATCAAGATCAGGAACAGACTCTCAGATAACCATACACATGACACAACAACAGGGCACTGAGCAAGAGGAGAACTGGGCCTAAATACCCCTCCTGTGGATCTGATTGTCTGTAACCGGCCTTTGACCCCAAAGGCAATTACCAGGTTTCCATTTGCAAGATTGCTGCTCAGCACAAACCCTCCTGTGGATTTGATTGCTGCTTGGCACGACTTTTCCTGTCAGGGCAGTAAATGCCATTAATCACATTTTTATGTGCGGATGAATACGTAACATTACCCCCCACCTGAAGAACGCCCACCGGGCTGGCAGGACCAGGTTTGAGAGGAAACTTGGGGTAAAAAGAACAAATTTTACGGCCAGCATGGATATCAGAAGCCAAAACCCAAGAATGGTCAGCAGGCCATTGCATTGGGCAGTCTGCAAAATTTCATGTTACAATGTGCTTTTGTTAAATGCCGCTGGTATATTCCTATTGTACATAGCATTCGTTTGATTGTTCGGTATTTTCATTCTGTTCACCATACGAATATAAACAACGAACCATCCGACCACCCCAGAGATAAGTGTGCCCCTCGTTTAGTATTTCCTGTTCTGTAACTGCAGGCTAATTGGTAATTAAATCGTTACTTTGTGTGTATCTGGGTGGCCACTGTTCGGCATACGAACAACGTGGCAGGGCCATCTTGCATACGAATGCTCAGCGGTGTTTGGTCATCGAGTGTCTGGAACTCAAATCGGACAGTCGAATACCTGAACACCGCGGAGACCACCAGAGCTCCATAACTCACGAACTGAATACCCAACCGGGTCCCCGTTCGGTGAAATGAATGTCCCGAACGAGGGGATTAATACGAACGCCAGCTCAGCTCTGAATGGCATAGATTTGTATGTGTTTTACCTCCCGAACAAAGGCCGACCGCAAGGCCAAAACTCATGGAAGCGCGTTCGGCTACCACCTCGTGTGCGGTCGGTCAAAATTGTCACTTCCACCTAAATCCTGAACCCCTGGTCCGATCTGGGTGATTTTTGAATATGTTGATCACCCAGATCAGGGCTACCACTGCATACCTATATCTGACGAATTTGGGGTACATCAGTGGGTGGCCACTGTTCGGCATACGAACAACGTGGCAGGGCCATCTTGCATACGAATGCTCAGCGGTGTTTGGTCATCGAGTGTCTGGAACTCAAATCGGACAGTCGAATACCTGAACACCGCAGAGACCACCAGAGCTCCATAACTCACGAACGGAATACCCAACCGGGTCCCCGTTCGATGAAATGAATGTCCCGAACGAGGGGATTAATACGAACGCCAGCTCAGCTCTGGATGGCATAGATTTGTATGTGTTTTACCTCCCGAACAAAGGCTGACCGCAAGGCCAAAACTCATGGAACCGCGTTCGGCTACCACCTCGTGTGCGGTCGGTCAAAATTGTCACTTCCACCTAAATCCTGAACCCCTGGTCCGATCTGGGTGATTTTTGAATATGTTGATCACCCAGATCAGGGTTACCACTGCATACCTATGTGTTTTACCTCCCGAACAAAGGCCGACCGCAAGGCCAAAACTCATGGAAGCGCGTTCGGCTACCACCTCGTGTGCGGTCGGTCAAAATTGTCACTTCCACCTAAATCCTGAACCCCTGGTCCGATCTGGGTGATTTTTGAATATGTTGATCACCCAGATCAGGGCTACCACTGCATACCTATATCTGACGAATTTGGGGTACATCAGTGGGTGGCCACTGTTCGGCATACGAACAACGTGGCAGGGCCATCTTGCATACGAATGCTCAGCGGTGTTTGGTCATCGAGTGTCTGGAACTCAAATCGGACAGTCGAATACCTGAACACCGCGGAGACCACCAGAGCTCCATAACTCACGAACGGAATACCCAACCGGACGAATTTGGGGTACATCTGGAAACGGGGTAAAACTGTGTAAGGGATAAGTGGATTATGTGTCACACTGAGGGGAGGAGATGTGTGGGAGGTGACGAGCAACTGATTGGTTACTGTAATAATTATTGTGGGTGTCTCCCTTGCATGGGAGAAATGCTTAAAAGAAGGTTGTGTGAATTAAAAGTTCAGTTTTGCTCCTGATGCTGTGTGTCATCCAGTCATTGGGAAACGTAATGGAATACTTTTGGATTACTTTACTAAGCATGGATATTATTCTCTTGGATTACCAGCGGAGATAGTCTGTGAGAAACCAGCTCTCCGCTACAATGCTCATACCCCCTCCAATAAACCAAATACTGTAAAGAACCACAAGAAAACCTGGAATCAATGATGGAGGAGACTTCATACTCCTCCTGTCCAGAAACAATCAAAGAAGGAGGTGGAACAATAGGACTAGCGTACCGATTGCAAACAAGCGGTTTGAGCAAGGACACATGAAAAGTATTAGGTATACGGAAGGATGCTGGAAGGGCCAGAGAAGAAACAGGGTTGATTCTCCTAACCACACGAAGCAAATGGGAACCTTCAACCTGATGTTGCATGAGAACCACTAAATCCGATCACCCACCTGGTAAACTGGATTGGCACTCCGCCATTTATCCGCATGAAACTTAAAGCGAGCAGCCGCAATTTCAAGAGCGGAGTGAACCTTAGTCCAGGTAGCACGAATAGAGGTAAGGTGATCATCCAGAGTAGGGATAGCCGTATCAGAGAACAGCAGGATGACGACCCATATTGACAAAAAACAGACTATGCCAAGATGAGTCATGGGTAGCGTTATTCCTTGCAAATTGCCCAGTTAGACTGTGTACTATTCACGAAGCAACGTAAGTACAGCTCAAGTGATTGGTTAGCTCTTTCAGTCGTACAATTAGTTTGGGGATGGTAGGCAGAGGAAATTGACAATTCAATGCCCAACTGTTTATTGAATGCCCTCCAGAACCGTGACACAAATTGGGAACCCCTGTCAGACACAATATTTTGATGAATACTATGTAGCCTGACAATATCACGTATAAATATGTGCACCAGGTCCTGAGACGATGGCAATTTTTTAAGGGGAGAGTAAAGTGTGCCATTTTGGAAAATGGGTCAACTACCATGTGGATGGTAGTATACCCATTTGTACTAGGCAGTTCAACAATTAAATTCATCGATAAATGAGACCATGGGTTACTGGGTATAGGAAGTGGCTGTAACAACCACACGGAAGTTTATGAGGAACCTTCGAAACTGCACAGACAGAGCAGGCTTCTACACAATATCCCTCCTGAGTGACTCCCACCAAAATGACCTGGAAATGGCAGATACAGTTTTATTAATGCTCGGATGCCCAGCGGTCACATTGTCATGGAATACCTTCAGCACCTCTTTCCTGTCAGGCAATTGAATAAACAATTTATCTTGAGGTTTGTTGCAAGGTGCCTGATAGCACAGAGCAAAGGGGACGATAAAGAAAGGGCAGTGGATGTCCGATTAAACATCAAAATGCCTAGACAAGGCGTCAGCTTTAACGTTCTTAGAACCGGGTCTGTAGGTGACAATAAAGTTAAAGCGAGACAAAAATAATGACCATCTAGCTTGTCTAGAAGACAGTCGTTTGGCATCCCCAATATATGCCAGGTTCTTGTGATCAGTAATAATCAAAATGGGATCCTTGGAACCCTCCAAAAGATGTTGCCATTCCTTAAGCGCTAATATGATGGCTAACAGTTCTCTATTACCATGTCATAGTTACGCCCGGCAGGAGACAACCTTCTGGAGAAGTATCAACATGGATGCAAAGGGGCATCCTGACACTCTGTCTTTGAGAAAGAACAGCCCCGACCCCTGTCTCGGAGGCGCTAACCTCAAGTAGGAAAGATTTACTAGTGTCAGTATGTCTTAATATGTCAGCAGATGCGAACATTTGTTTAAGAAGCTCAAAAGCTTCATTAGGCCATTTAGTACAATTAGCCCTCTTGCGTGTCATATTGGTGATGGGGGCTATTACCGAAGGGAAACCTTTGATGAAGCTCCAGTAATAGTTAGAGAAACCAATAAACTGTATGGCTTTTAACCCACTGGGTATTGGCCATTGTAGAACGGCCTCTAATTTGCTTGGATCCATTTGGAAACCAGAGGCAGAAATGTTATACCCCAAAAACTGAACCTCATGTTGATCAAATACGCATTTCTCAAGTTTACAATAAAGGCCATGTAAAACTTGTTTGACATGATCATGATGAGTTTGGATGTTGGGGGAATAAATAAGGATATCATCCAGGTATACAAGCACAAAAGAGTAAATATAGTCTGAGTACATCATTAATGAAGTCTTGAAATACGGCTGGAGCATTACATAGCAAGATATTCGTAGTGCCCACTCCTAGTGTTAAAACGCTGTCTTCCCCAATTCTCACCAAATTGTACGCACTCCTAAGACCCTGGAGTCTCCTATAAGGGGAATGGGGTAGGCATTTTTGATAGTAATCTTGTTTAATGCCCTGTAGTCTATACAAGGTCGTAATTTTCCATCTTTCTTAGCTACAAAAAAGAACCCTGCACCAGCAGGTGAGGATGATTTACGTATATGGCCTTTATTTAAAGATTCCTCGATGTACTCATCCATGATTTTACTTTCATGTGGGGAGAGGGCATATACCACTCTTTTAGGAGGCATAGCCCTGGGCAACAGATCAATGGAACAATCATAAGATCTGTGTGAAGAAAGAGCATTAGTCTAGGTTTTACTAAACGCCTCTCTAACCTCCCAATACTGTATGGGAATTTCGGGAGTTGGAGACGTAGCAGCTGGTAAAGCAACGATGCCCACTTTTTTAGAAATGGGTAATATGCAGCTTTCCTGACAGTCTCTACCCCATTCCAGTATTTCCCCGCTAGTCCAGTCAATATGAGGGTTATGCTTGAGATCCAAGGGAACCCTAATACAATGGGACAAGAATGGGAAGCGATTATCTGGAAAGTAATGTCTTCCTTATGCAAAGCCCCTATCGTAATGCAAACAGGCAAGGTCTCATGGGTAATAAGAGGTTGAGATAGGGGTCTCTTATCAATAGCCTCACCCACTAGAGGTGATGATCTCTCCTTGACTGGTATATAGACATACCCCGCTTTACATACACTCACTTTAAATACACTCGCGAGCACAGACATTCCCACGCCTCTTCTATCCGCGAGTGAACAGGAAATGGAAGGTTCTATTCTTGCCCTGAGCAGCTCAGTTCAGGGTCTTTGGGGCAAGAACTTTTCACACCTTCTGCCATGGCACAGGTTAATCATCTCAAATTTATAATGTCTACTCCTACCCGAACATACACATATGTATTTTTTTTTATTTTTTTCCCCCCTGCCCCTACACTGTCCATATTCTGCAATCAACGCCATCTAGTGAAGGGGTTTACCCTGCCATTTTCTATAACTTAGCAGCATTAGCCACAATTCTGATGATTCAAAGTTAATCCATAAATGCTTAAAGTGATGAAGAGGTGTTTCTAAACAAAAAAAGTGTGCAACTAAGCTGCTAACAAATACAAATTGGCACTGTATTGGCAGAAAATGGATCAGTGGGCAGGTTTATTTAACTTTTCCTCCCAGTTTAAGGTTGTCAGATGAGTAAACAAAGATAAATGGTGCAATCTGGAATGAGATTTTTCTTTTTAACTGAATAAAAGCCTACAGGAAATCACTAAATAAAATCACTGGAAATCTGCAGGTGCAGTATCAGTTATGCCTGTAAATGACTATTGCAATGCAGCACATGCATTGGGAAGTGAAAAAAGGTATTGCTTCACTTTAAGTACATTTTTGTTTTACATACATGCTCTGGTCCCATTGTGTACTTAAAAGTGGGGTATGGCTGTAATGTGTTTAACAAAATACAAATCAATAAAGTTACCAGCCGCACCTGAATTAACCAGGGCTTTGCTTGAAAAGTTCTCCTTGTTGCAAAAGGCAGAAATGTTGAGGATAAATTTGCTTCGGGAATTACTAGAGGATGTATCCATTACACCCAAGACCTGTCCCCTTAAAGGTTCTTAGATGCGGAAGTTTTCTGGACGTGTAGGACAAGCATCTCTCATATGCCCTTTCTTGCCACAATATAAGCACAGACCCTCTTGTCCTATACGGTTTCTCAGCCTCAGACAGTCCTGTAACCCCTAACTGCATAGGTTCGGGTTCAGACAGCGATTAATCCGTTGTTAGTCCAGTCTACCTCAGAAGCCAAGGTACGAAATTCTATGGCATAATTCAAGATAGACTAGTTCCCTTGTTTGATACGCATTAGGGCAGTGGAGGCGTCTTCCTCTCTGCCTAATGGTTCAAACATCAGTTTGAGTTCCGCCAGGAATTCCTGGTAACAATGAGTGAGTGATACTCCTATTACTTTCCCACCATGGATTAGCCCAGGTTGAGGACTTACCTTTAAGTTGGTTCATACCTAATCTTAGCTCTAGCTGAAGGAAATGAGCCAGGTGGTAATCAATTTGAGAAATTCCCTACATTCCTGGATATTATCAGAAAAATATGGGGAAGGAAATAGGTGCCTTATTGTCAGGGTTAGGAAGGGGTGCTGCCCTGAGACAGCAATATCTCTTTAATTGCAGGAATCCAATATGTAGAGAAAAAAAAAAAAAGACAAACACAAGGAATAAGAACAAATAAGTATATTATGAAATAAACAAAAATGACACTAGATAACCAAACTATTTACAATAATACAATGCAAATACAAAATATATAATAGACCTAAGTCTAGCACGGGAGGTGCAGGCAGAGTATCAAGTACAGTCTTGTAAATTAAATGGAGCACACTAGACAGGCACCATGAGAGAAACAGGATTCCGGTCCAGAGCCACAGCATATCCATTTAGTGCCAAAAAGGATGTAAGACCAAAATCACAGGATACCAGGCCATAGGATGTAAGGCCAGAGTCACAAAATACAAGACCAGAGACACAGGACCAGAGGATGCAGATCAGAGTCACAGGAACAATGATCTGACCCGGAGGGAAGGGTGAGGCCAGATTATAAAAGTTGCCCAACAAGGACCAGCTTAAGTGTCCAATGTTCCAAAAAGTAAAGAACAGCACCAAACAAGGAGAGTGGTGAGCAGTAGTACTGCATAAAGGGATATCACCTAAGGAGTGAACCAGGAAACATGACACATACTATAGGTGGAGGTACATTAGGCAGTGGTGACATAATTGGAGTAGCCTCAGGTTGTAAATGAGCCATCCGAGTAAGGAGCGTGCTAAAAGCCTGGGCAAATTGATCCATACGGTGATCATTCTCCTCTACCTTTCTTTCACAAGCTGCTATGTGCTGACACAATTCTGCAGGATCTATGGCCCTGTCGTAATGTCAGGATTACAAGTTGATCCAGCACGCAGTACTTTGCCACACCTAGGACTAAGGATAACGTACAACCGGACCTAAAAACAGCCGGACTTAACGTCTCCAAGAATAGTCAAAATACTAGCCGAAGTCAGGGACACAGAATCAGACACAAAGATGAGGGAAATCCAAAAGTCAAGGATACCAGACATCAGGAAAGTCAAATATCAGAAAATCAAGATCAGGAACAGACTCTCAGATAACCATACACATAATTCAACAACAGGGCACTGAGCAAGAGGAGAACTGGGCCTAAATACCCCTCCTGTGGATCTGATTGGCTGTAACCGGCCTTTAACCCCCAAAAGCAATTACCAGGTTTCCATTTGCATGATTGCTGCTCAGCACAAACCCTCCTGTGTATTTGATTGCTGCTCAGCACAACTTTTCCTGTCAGGGTAGTAAATGCCATTAACCACATTTTTATGTGTAGATGAATACGTGACAAGAGCACAGATAGTACAGATGCTTTTCGTGTCCTTATAAAAGAGCAATCGTCTGAAATATCTGTACTATCTGTGCTGTTCACTGTTACACTGGACTAAACTAGGGGACGTCATCACTCTATCTTCTGTCTATTTGTGGTTTATGTTGTTGGAATTTGCTTTCCCCAAACAGAGGAAGTGTTGGTAATTCGTAATTATTTACTGAAAGGAATATAACTGCAGAGGAACACAGCCTTAGAATATAAAATATATACTTTATAATCATTAAAAAAAAAAAAAAAAACTAGGATGCATGTAATGCAAGCATAAACATCATCCAATCTTATACCCAGAATACATCAGAAATTCCATCTCATTCAATTGTAATCATTTCATCAGCCAGAGAAAATGCAGTGTTTACATTACAGCCTAGTGATAACTTCACTGGCCACTCCTCAGATGGCTGTTAGAGATCCTTCCTGGGTCATGGCTGCCTAAAATTCATCCAAACATTCAGTGTCTCCTCCCTCTGCATGCAGACACTGAACATTCCTCATAGAGATTCATTGATTCAATTCATCTCTATGAGGATATGCTGATTGGCCAGGGCTGTGTTTGAATCATACTGGCTCTGCCCCGATCTGCCTCCTTGTCAGTCTCAGCCAATCCTATGGGGAAGCACTGTGATTGGATCAGGCCACCACTTCTGATGATGTCAGCACACTGCTTGTTTTTCTGAGTCTAACAGCATGCAGAGTTACAGCTTTAAGCTTGAATACAGTAAGATGTTTACTATATTTATGGAGGCATGAGCTGTCATTCATTAAATTGGTTAAATGCTTATTCTAAACACCATAATTACATTGCATCATTAAAAGTATTGGCGCAGAAAGCACTTAGCACCCGTCTCCCTTCCTAATGTGACTTATAACTGCAGTCATTTTATTTCTCTTTCTTCTCGAAAGTTCATAAAGTATATTCGAGAATTGATTATTTTATCACTGACTTAAATAATTTACGATACTTCAAAAAAAAAAAAAATAGATCTAATCACTTGGTCTGACCATGCTCCAATAACTGTTGAAATAGGGAAAGAGCAAGAATCTCTAACCAGATTTACATGGAGATAAAACGAACAAGTACTTAAATCAGGAGGAAATTGTAGATATCTAAATGAACAGATCAAGGAGTTCATATTATTAAATGATAATGGAGAAGTATCGATAGGTACCCTGTGGTGTGGCTTAAAGAGCTACGTAAGAGGGGTTATAATTAAAATGCTAAGAAGGAGTAGAGGAAACCATTAAAAGATCTGTATATTTCTCTGGCTAAACTGGAAAGAGAAAACAAACAAACGTAACACTAGATAAAACAGATCAAATCAGAAATATTCACTCAGAAATTAAAAATAAACTGGAGGGCCGGAGCCTGGATGCCGAGCTCACAAGACATGCATGGCGTGAGCTCCACAAACCAGGTCCAATACTTGACGATTAACCTGGGCCACTTGCTTAACATTGCCTAGCAAATCACAACCTCGCAAGACCCATTTGAGAGATTACTCTATAACATGGATTTTCCATGATACAGTGACATCACACCAGAGCCAAGCGGAGGGACGAAGTAGAGACCAGCGGGAGGTGAGCGGAGCCCCTCTGCGAGTTCCCCCCCGTCAAGCAACTGGAATTGCTCGATTAAGCCCACTTGGGCAAAAGACCACCGGGGCAACGTACCCCCGCATCTGCCACGTAGGCTGCAGAACCACCGCCACTGGTGACGATGCGCCACAAAGAGCCTCTGCTGTCCCTTGAAGGGAGAGACTTGGCCTCGTGTAGGAGAGTCCGAGACTGTGGCCACATGATGCCGGTTTTACACACAGCCCAGGGCCGGAGGGCTTCCACGTTCGACCTTGAAAAGACCCCAAACAGCCTCCACGCACCCCCAAACCGGGGAATAGGCTGACGGTGAACTCTCTGGACAGGGCCACCTATATCCTGCCACTGCAATGTCTACTAAAAGAATTGTGTTAATGCCTTCCCTCTACTCTTGTTATGCATTTTATTTTATGTGAAATCTAGTTCTCTCGTGGGCAATGCAGAAATATTCTAGGGGTGTGGCATCAGAGGTTACTCTCACCCATCACCTTTGCGCAGTTTAGCATGTTTCCCAAATTACTCATGTATCCATAGCAGGCAACCGATGGCACAGCTATTACCCACGTCAGGGCTACTTACTCACCTCTAAAGCCAGAGTGGTAAGGATGGCACCGGCATGCCATGCCTTCTAAATATCCCTGATTCCACTGAGTGGCAGCAAGTGGATACCTATGCCTGATATGCTTCCTAGTATAAATAGTGAAAGGTTATCGCGGAATCATTCCCTTCGGTATTCCTGGCTTTGGATGCTGAAAAAGGCCTTCAACAAGGTTAGTTGGTCCTGCCTGTCAGAGGCCTTAAAAGCTTTTGGGTTCGAGGGCCGCATTTTTGATAGAATTATGAGCCTATGCACCAGTTATGGCGAACCGGTGGCCCTCTCTGTGGGCACGCGGCCATAGGTTCACCATCAATGCAGAGTAGGCACCTGCCCAAAATGGCTGGTGCCTACTCTGCTTCCGTGTCGGGAGGCAGGTGGAGGGGTCTAGGAAGCAGCTCTCCTGTCCTCCCGCGAGCAATCTGTGTGGAGCATTGCCGCGCGTTACCATGGCAACGCTCCACACAGCATAGCGCAGGCAGGAGGGAGGACAGGAGAGCTGCTCCCTAGTGTACTTACCACTAATGGACCACCAGGGAGGGTTATGTCCCCCCTCCTTCATCAAAGGTAAGAAGGAGGGAGGAAGGGGGGGGATACAGGCTTAATATACCTTTTTTTTTACCTCCACCTCCCCCCACACAGTACCCCTACCCTCCCACACACACAGCACCCCTACCCCCCACCCACAGCACCCCTACCCCCTCACACACAGCACCCCTACCCCCCCACACACACAACACCCCTACCCCCACACACACACAGCACCCCTACTCCCCACACACTGGACCCCTACCCCCACACACAGCACCCCAACCCCCTACACACAGCACCCCTACCCCCCCACACACAGTACCCCTACCCCCCACACACACAGTACCCCTACCCCACACACACACAGCTCAGTGTGTGTGTGTACTCAGCAGCCTGTGTGTGTGTATTCAGCAGTCTGTGTATAGCAGACTGTGTGTGTGTGTATGTGTATTCAGCAGTCTGTGTGTATGTATATTCAGCAGTCTATGTGTATGTATTCAGCAGTCTGTGTATTCAGTGGACTGTGTGTGTGTATTCAGCAGTCTGTGTGTATGTATTCAGCAGTCTGTGTGTATGTATTCAGCAGTCTGTGTGTATTCAGTGGACTGTGTGTGTGTATTCAGTGGACTGTGTTTGTGTATTCAGCAGACTGTGTGTGTATGTATTCAGCAGACTGCGTGTACTCAGCAGTCTGTGTGTGTGTATTCAGCAGTCTGTGTATGTGTACAGCAGACTGTGTGTGTATGTGTATTAAGCAGACTGTGTGTATGTGTATTCAGCAGTCTGCGTGTATGTGTATTCAGCACTCTGTCTGTATGTGTATTCAGCAGTATGTGTGTATGTATTCAGCAGTCTGTGTGTACTCAGCAGTGTGTGTATTCAGTAGTCTGTGTGTATGTGTATTCAGCAGTCTGTGTGTGTGTACAGCAGACTGTATGTGTGTATGTGTATTCAGCAGACTATGTGTATGTGTATTCAGCAGTCTGTGTGTATGTGTATTCATCAGACTGTGTGTATGTGTGTTCAGCTGTATGTGTGTATGTGTATTCAGCAGTCTGTGTGTATGTATTCAGCAGTCTGTATGTACTCAGCAGTGTGTGTATTCAGTGGACTGTGTGTGTGTATTCAGCAGACTGTATGTGTATTCAGCAGTCTGTGTGTGTATGTATTGCATTTTTTGGAGATACTTATAAATATAAGCTTAATTTTATCCATTATTTAAAATTTGTATCAATGAACTCTCTGTTCTCTGTGTTCTTTTAAAACAAAAGTTGTTAATTAGTTCGGACAACTGTACGAGTTATTTTTTCTAAACTTCAACCTCAGTATTCAGGTTTAATTGCCATGTTGAGGAAAAAAAAGGTTGTCATGTATTGCGGTTTGGGCACTCGGGTTCAAAAAGGTTCGCCATCACTGCTATACACCATATCCTCCGCGAAGGTACAGGGAGGGGGGGGGTGGGGGTTGAATCTGGTATATTTAAATCTAGAAATGGGACAAGAGAGGGCTGCACCCTGGCCCCTAGGTTATACATTCTCTCTATCGAACCCCTTACACTAATCAGACACACAAAGGAGATAGAGGGAATATTAACTAATCTGAATGTGGGAATAATTAATCTTTAATCAGGACAGTTATCATGTGCAAGATCAACATTTGGTTATATTCATCTTTTAGTTACTGTATTGAAATCTTGTGTGAGAAATACTGTATATTTTTAGTTGCAATATTAAAGTGTTTAACCTGTGAGAATTGTAGCCAGAAGTGAGTGAGCTAACTCAGTGTGATTCAGACTGACAGACTCTAGGAATTGTATGACTTTAAACTGTGCTGCTGTACTCTGTGCTCTGTGGCTCTGTGTTAAAGACTTTCTAGCTGAACTCTGAAAGTTTCCTGTAGTTTTGTTAAAAATGCATCTATGTTGGATATAACTGTTAAATAATGTCTAGAGGAATTATTTGTAAATTTGCATGTAACTCCTTTAAAAGTTAATTTAACTCATGTTGCTTTTAAGAGATCTTTAATTGTGACATAACTGTTGCCATATCGTATGCTTATTGTTTTACCTAAATATTCACTGATACTGTCGCGCATGTTACATATTATTATTTGTCACAATAAAATCTATTTTTATAATTGGTTGTGATTAATGTGTGAAATACAAATCTTCTAATAACGTACTGCAGGGTCTATAAGAGTTAAAATAGTGGTTAACTCTTCACTTTTAATAATTCAAGGGGAAACTGTGCAAATATATAAATGTTTGATATAATAAAAATGATTAAATTACTTTTTGATAATTTTTATATTTAAAAAATATATATTTATTACCCCATAAATATTCTCACAGCACCCACACTTATTATATATCATTTTGTTAAGAAGAAAAAGGGAATCAAACATTTATCTTTGAAACAGTATTTTATATGAATAAAACCTAAAGAATAAAAAAATCTGAAAAAGTGTGAGTATTCTGCATGGCATTTTAACCAAGAGTCTCATAATACTGTTTGCTTTTACTGCAATAAAATACATTTGTATATAAGGTGTTACCCTCTTGTATTGCAACCCATGAATATAAACTAACCTCATTATGGCATACTATTTGCAAAAGTAGACAAACTAGAGTATTCAGAATTAGGTATGTCCAGTCTTTTCGAGTAGCCTTAGTCACAAACCCTGACCAAAGTTGGCGTTCATGTTTGGTTTTTGCATTTTTCACAAAAAAAAAACCCTTTTCTTCACTTATACCATCAGCATTATACATTTTACTGCTCTAAAACATTCATATTTGTGTTCAGTACTCACCATGTCCAGGTTTTATGGTGTTTTGGAAAGTTACAGGGCCAAATTTAAGGCTTCCCTATTTCAGTTTTTACACATTGCAATTTCCCAGATTGCTTATGTTGCCTTTGAGACCGTATGGCAGGCCAGGAATGAGAAATACCCTCATTATGGCATACCATCTGCAAAAGTAGACAACCCAAGGTATTCAAAATGGGTTATGTCCAGTCTTTTTTTTTTAGTAGTGTCACAAACACTTGCCAAGGTTAGCATTTATATATATTTTTTTGCATTTTTGACACACAAACTGCACTTTCACTGATAATATTGTCATGATACATTTTAATGTAACACTCATATTTGTGTTCATAGGAGTCTCCCGAGTACAACAGTACCCCCATGTACAGATTTTATGGAGTTTTGGAAAGTCACAGGGTCAATATAAGGCATGTTAATTTCAGTTTGTCAGATTGGTTTGTAGGGCCTATGTTGCCTTTGAGACCATATACACTGAACAAAATTATAAATGCAACACTTTTGTTTTTGCCCCCATTTTTTATGAGCTGAACTAAAAGTTCTAAGACTTTTTCTATGTACACAAAAGGCCTATTTCTCTCAAATATTGTTTACAAATCTGTCTAAATCTGTGGCAGTGAGCACTTCTCCTTTGCCGAGATAATCCATCCACCTCACAGGTGTGGCATATCAAGATGCTGATTAGACAACATGATTATTATAATTAAAGTTTCTAATTCACAGGTATATTCTTAAATTCTCAGGACGTCTTGGGTCAAGTTCTCATCAGCATATATGAAAGAGAAAAAAAAAACATACAGAGGGGACCAATGGTGCAGTAACGTAAAGGAGTATGGCTACAGACAACACTGAGATTAAGAAATGCCAACTCACATTTGTGGGAGCTATAACCAGCTCGAGTAAAACAGCATACAGTGGTATTTAAACTTCCCACATGTAGGAAATTCCTCTCACGAGATTTTCAGTGCAGGTTATATGAAATAAAAACACAAGAGAAGGCCCATAGTGCTCTCTATATTAAAAAAGTGCTGGATAAAATAAGAGATGTACTTACAATTTACAGAGCAGACAAACCGCTCTGTGTAAAGCGCCTGGGTGGTACGATCCCCACCATGGATTCTTTGGATGGTATAAAAGCTTCAGATGTTTAGGATATGCCAGGTAAAAAAATAAGGATAAATATAAACGTATTTAAAATAGTCAGAAAAAATACTTTTATTTAGATTAAACCACAACGCGTTTCGCCACAAAAGGCTTCTTCAAGTGTACAAGTGTACACTTTTTTAACACTTTTTTTCCTAGAATGCTGCCCTCCAATCACAGCCCTGCACTAAACTAGCACGCGCTACTAAACCTGACTATTTTCCTGATAAAACTAACAGAACCTAAGCCCCACCCCCCCACAGCTACATGTCACATGGGGCTAATGGCCCGCTCTATCACATTGTACATTCATATACCGTCTCACACACACATGCAGGGAGGAATTCCAAATGGAATCTGTGGTAGCAGTTGGGGTGGGGTGGGGTAACATGCTTAGCTTGGCCTAGGGCAGCATAAAGGTTAAATACATCACTGCATATAATTCATTACCAATGGGTGTTTTTTTGTATGACTTTTACAGAGCGCATGTTATTATTTATAATGCACCAACATAATGTACTGCGCGGGATAAGGCAATTCCAGCAAGACAAGTTTGACTTAGAAAATAGAAAATGGCAAGTAATGGATCAGATCCCATTATCTGTTGTGTTTCTCTCATCTCTCTGCAGGTTGCGGTGCTGTGATCTGACCTCATCCGGCTGTGAGGATCTTTGCTCTGTTATTATCACAAGCCGATCTCTGACCAAATTGGATCTGAGAGGAACTAACCTGCAGGATTCAGGATTGAAGAGTCTGTGTGAGGGTCTCATGGACGCAGACTGTACCCTGCAGGAAATGCGGTGAGAACTGAACTATTAATTATATAATAATCCTCTCAGATCAGGAGACCTTAGAGGATTTAAAAGCTGGGATAAAGCTTTGGGAACCATTTAGCTCCCTCCTCATGCTCTAATCTGTGGGGAAAACACTAAGTGAGCGAGAGAGAAAGAAAGAAAGAGGTTAACACAGTAAAGGAGTTTAAGCATGCGTGGGAGAGGCATAAGGCTATCCTAACTATAAGATAAGGCCAGGGACTAATGAAAGTATTTAGAAAATTGGGCAGACTAGATGGGCCGAATGGTTCTCATCTGCCGTCACATTCTATGTTTCCATGTTTCTATGTAAAGCATTTAGTGACTGACAACAAATACTAACAACCTTTCTCTTTGGATATTTTTTACTGTTTATAGGGTTAAATGTGTACCTGGCACAGGGTAATGACAAGTAACGGATCAAGTCACATTATCTGTTGTGTTTCTCCTATCTCTCTACAGATTGAAGCGCTGTGGTCTGACCTCATCCTGCTGTGAGGTTCTTCGCTCTGTTATTATCACAAACCGATCTCTGATTAAACTGGATCTGTCAGATAACCTGCGGGACTCGGGATTAAAACATTTGTGTGAGGATCTCAGGCACCCAGACTGTACCCTGCAGGAGCTGGAGTAAGAACTGTGCTAGTAATTATATAATAATCCTCTCAGGTCAGAACATGGAGAGTTTAACAGCTGGGATAAAGCTTTGGGAACCATTAACTCACTCCTCATGCTCTAATCTGAGTGGAAAACACTGAGATAAAAATAAACTGTTTGCCAATATTTTCATGCAAAGTAAGTATTGTGCTTCGGGAAAATCTTCATTTCTGGCACTTGTGAATCCAAATGACAAGTAACTGGCCTCATGTGTTTTTTTGTTTGAGAAGAAGATTGGGTAGCATTGTATGGTTTTCTTTTTTTCTTTGACTTGTCACTAGTCTCTGCTATTTGAGGAACAGTAGATTCAACTATTTTCGACCTGTTTTCTTGATTTCTTGTTATACCTTCTTTCTCAGAACAGAAAGGGATAGGGATACAGGACATCAAAAATCCCTATGAAGGCTAGAGCAACCCAGCAAGTAATAGTTAAAACATAACTTTTAATTGGATCATTAAAAAATCAAATGATGATTTTAAAATATAAACACAATATAGAAAGTTCCAAAATGTAAGCTATAGTAATCATATATTCTTGGATACAATTCTATGAATTTATACTCGTTTTAAATAACGAAATTTCTAATAACAATGTATCCATATCCAAAATACAATGTACTGACATGATCCCCTTAAGCATGTGTACACTAATCCTCAAGGCACACTCCTGGGAGTAATTACAGAAAAGGGTAAAACAAGGGTATGCCCTGGAAGAGCCAGTTAATGGCGAAACACGCGTCGGGACGGTTCTGTGTTGGTGCACTATAGATATGGGATGATTTTAGTATTATATACTGACCTCAGAGACAGGCAACACTTTTATTTTTATTTTGTTTGTTATTTTTTTCCTATCGAGATTGTGATGGTATCTCATCTTTTGTTTTATACTTCCTACAATTATCCTACAATTGCTATCTTTTGGCAAGGGGTGGGGTATGGTGTAGCCCTCTATATTTAGATTAAGCTTAACGTATACACAGCTGGTGGGAGGTAGACATTTTTTAAGGGGTGCCCTCGAAGACACGTCAATGTAGCCCATTCTAAGTAGCCTTAGGGTTACTTCTTTTTTTTTTTGGTTTCCTTTTTTCCCTTCTTTTTTCTATACACCCCCTTGTTTTACCCATTTCTGTGATTACTCCCAGGAGTGTGCCTTGAGGATTAGTGCGCACACTCCTCAGGGGGTCATGTCATTACATTGTGTTTTGGATATGGATACATTGCAATTAGAAATTTTCCTACTTAAACGAATGTAAATTCATAGAATTGTATCCAAGAATATATGATTGCAATAGCTTACATTTTGGAACTTTCTTTATTGTGTTTATATTTTATCTTATACTAGATTGTTTAAAATCATAATTTGATTTTTATAATGATCCAATTAATTGTTATTTTGATTTTTAATGACCCAACACTCGCCCTTAAAGTTAGTTTTTATTTAATCTTCTTTCTCAGTTTCTATAATTGCTGAACAGCTAGAAGTAGTACTCATTCTCTATGAATAGTCCCATGCTTTAACCAACTGTCCAATTCCATGATTGTTTATTGGTAAAAAAACAAAACACTTGGAAAAATGCAGATTTCATTACCTGACTGCAAAGGATTCTGATTTTTATTAAGGTCTTAGAAAGAAAACCCTTAAGCAGGATTTGGAGTTAATCTCGGAGCAAAAGTTTGAGCACTTTGAAACAGATCTCAGTAACTCACTGTGACGGCCTGCTAAAGTATCACCGCCATGCATATCCTTTTCTCATAATAATAGTACGCCAGTAATCCACAGGTTCCAATATCGCTGGTGTCGCATAATAACCCACACATGAGCCAAGGCTTAATGCTGGGACAAGTCTGGTTTGGAAAAATCTGGATAATACTAAACTCAATTATCTTCAGGTCAGAAAAAGTTACACTTTTTACAACACCCGAAACTACCCCCAAAATACATGGGAACATGGGACAAGTCACATTGGTAGCCTGGATCTGGGGGAACAATATATCTAAAAATCAGCCAGATCCGTTCGGTAGTTCACGAATGGCACCGCAGGGAGAGTTGACCGGTCTGCCACGATGTTGAAGCCCAGAAATAGTTCCATAAAAAATGTAGCAAGAGCTCTCCGTTCATGTGATTTTGCACAAAAACCACAGAAGATAAAGTCAAGCTGGTTCGTGAAGAATGCTCCCTGTGTTCAGTATTCTGGAACTCCCGAACGCCGTTCATCTAAGTGAATGGGAAGAGAAACGTAGAGGAGATCCGTAAAGACAGGTGTTCGTGCAAGTGCCTTTGACAAAAGTAGTTCCAGGCACTCGATGACCAAGTCCCGCAGGCAGCGTTCGGGAGACAAGATGGCCCCCATCCATTGTTCCAACCACATGTATTCGTATGCACGAAATGGCGGCCACCCAGGAGCATTTGATTAATATGCAGTTTTCATGGAAGATACACAATGTTCTACATTCTAATTAGTCTCTGGGGTGGTCTCGGTTCAGAAACCGAACAAAATGATGAACAAAACTGGGACAGGATAATAAAATGAACGTAAATTGCCGAACAGTGATGGGGCATTCCTTCACACTCAATGTAAAGGATGCTGTGATTTATAGAGCTCTTAGAAAGAACTTAACTGAAGCAGGATTTTGAGTCAGTCTTGGAACAAAAAGATTTGAACACTTTGAAATAGTTATGCAATAAGTTTAACAAAGAAAAAAAAATGGATGAGAAGCCCAACCCAAGTAAAGTTTTTCAGTTAACAGTTTTCAGCTCCTAACAGGGTCTTTCAATGTCCCTACCTAACAGAGCCTTTCAATGTCCCTGACAGAGAATTTCAATGTCCCTACCTTGCAGACTTTTTCAATGCCCCTAACAGAGTCTTTCAATTTCCCTACCTTACAGAGCCTTTCAATGTCCCTAACAGAGCTTGCACTTTCAGGTCCACTCTCTATCACTCTCTACCACGAGTGATAGAAAATGGCTGACAGTAGGGCAGGCTGACCGCAGGGCGAGCTTAAGATCGCGCTCCCATGATCCATTAATAAGATTGTGGTTGCGCAATCTTTGCTGTTTCTTACCTTCCGGGAATAGCAGGTAGTCGCAGCCATCTTGTTTGTGGGGAATCAAAAGAAACGCCAATTTTGTTCTCAGGGAACCCAAGGTTCCGAGGAACACGAATTGGGAAACGCTGGGTTAAATATTTACCTGGCACAAGGGTAATGGCAAGTAATGGATCAGGTCATATTATCTGTTGTGTTTCTCTCATCTCTCTGCAGATTGTTTGGCTGTGGTCTGACCTCATCCTGCTGTGAGGATCTATGCTCTGTTGTTATCACAAACCGATCTCTGACCAAACTGGATCTGTCAGGGAATAAACTGCAGGACTCTGGAGTTAAGTGTCTGTGTGAGGGTCTCAGGCACCCAGACTGTACCCTGCAGGAGCTGTGGTAAGAACTGTAACAAGTCAATGTAATGTTTTATACCTGTCACATACAAATCCCACATATGTCACACGCAATGTGATTTTATCTATCTGTCTCACTGTCAAAACCATGTATTTTACATATTTCAATATTAAAGAATTTAAAAAAAAGAATCCTCTCAGGTCAGGACATTGAGAGGGTTTAACAGCTGGGATAAAGCTTTCGGTACCATTTTTTATTGCATCTCTCCTCTTGCTCTTATCTTGGGGGAAAACACTAACTGAGAGAGAAATAAAACATTTAGTGACTGACAAAATTACTAACAACCTCTCCCTTTGGATATTCTTTACTGTTTATATGGTTAAAAAATAGGAAATGGCAAGTAATGGATCAGATCCCATTATCTGTTGTGTTTCTCTCATTTCTCTACAGGTTGCAGTGCTGTGGTCTGACCTCATCCGGCTGTGAGGATCTACGCTCTGTTATTATCACAAACCGATCTCTGACAAAACTGCATCTGAGAGGGAATTACCTGCAGGACTCAGGATTAAAACTTCTGTGTGAGGGTCTCAGGCACCCAGACTGTACCCTGCAGGAGCTGCGGTGAGACCTGTAAATGTTATTATATAATAATCCTCTCAGATCAATATTTGGAGGGTTTATCAGTTGAAATAAAACTTTGGAACCATTTAACTCCCTCCCTCCTCATGCTCTAATCTTCAGGGGGTTGGGGGGAGAAAGGGGGTATAGGGCATTTAGTGTCTGACAACAAATACTAAAGACCTTTTACTATGGATATTATTTACTGTTTATATAGTTAAACATTTACCTAGCACAGGGGTAATAGCAAGTAATGGATCAGGTCACATTATCTGTTTTGTTTCTCTCATCTCTCTGCAGGTTGTTAGGCTGTGGTCTGACCTCATCATGCTGTGAGGATCTACACTCTGTTATTATCAAAAACCGATCTCTGACTAAACTGTGTCTGTCAGATAACCTTCAGGACTCAGGATTAAAGTGTCTATGTGAGGGTCTCAGGCACCCAGACTGTACCCTGCAGGAGCTGCTGTGAGAACTGTACTATTAATTATATAATAATCCTCTCAGGTCAGGACATGGAGGGTTTAACAGCTGGGATAAATCTTTGGGAACCATTAACTCATTCCTCATGCTCTAATCCGAGTGGGAAACTTTAACAGGGAGAAAAAAAAGCATTTAGTGACTGACAACATATACAGTTGATACTCGAAAAATTAGAATATCGTGCAAACGTTCATTTATTTCAGTAATGCAACGTAAAAGGGGAAACTAATATATGAGATAGACGCATTACATGCAAAGCAAGATAGTTCAAGCTGTGATTTATCATAAGTGCGATGATTATGGCTTACAGCTCATGAAAACCCCAAATCCACAATCTCAGTAAATTAGAATATTACATGCAGTCAATAAAACAAAGAGTGAACAATATCGGACCACTGAAAAGTATAAGCATGCATATGGACTTAGTACTTGGTATGGGCCCTTTTGCAGCAATTACTGCCTCAATGTGGCGTGGCATGGAAGCTATCAGCCTGTGGCACTGCTGAGCTGTTATGGAAGACCAGGATGCTTCAATAGCGGCCTTCAGCTCTTCTGCATTGTTCTGTCTCATGTCTCTCATCTTTCTCTTATCAATACCCCATAGATTCTCTGTGGGGTTCAGGTCAGGCGAGTTTGCTGGCCAATCAAGCACAGTAATCCCATGGTCATTGAACCTGGCTTTGGTGCTTTTGGCAGTGTGGGCAGGTGCCAAGTCCTGCTGGAAAATTAAGTCAGCATCCCCATAAAGCTCGTCTGCGGAAGGAAGTATGAAGTGCTCCAAAATATCCTGGTAGACGGCTGCATTGACCCTGGACTTAATGAAGCACAGTGGACCAACACCAGCAGATGACATGGCTCCCCAAATCAACACAGACTGTGGAAACTTCACACTGGGCTTCAAGCATCTTGCAGTGTGTGCCTCTCGATTCTTCCTCCAGACTCTGGGTCCTTGGTTTCCAGATGAGATGCAAAAGTTGCTCTCATCAGAAAAGAGGACTTTGGACCACTGAGCAACAGACCAGGTCTGTTTTTCTTTAGCCCAGGTAAGACGCTTCTGACGTTGTTTGTTGTTCAGGAGCGGCTTGACAAGAGGAATAAGACATCTGAAGCCCATGTTCAGGATACGTCTGTGTGTGGTGGCTCTTGATGAACTGACTCCAGCCTTAGTCCACTCCTTGTGAAAGTTCCCAACACATTTGAATGGCCTTTTCCTGACAATCCTCCCAAGGCTGTGGTCATCCCTGCTGCTTGTGCACCTTTTTCTTCCACACTTTTCCCTTCCACATAACTTTCTATTAATGTGCTTTGATACCGCACTTTAGGAACATCCAATTTCCTTTGCAATTACCTTTTGAGGCTTTTCCTCCTTATGGAGGGTGTCAATTATGGTTTTCTGCATGACTGCCAGGTCAGCAGTCTTCCCCATGATTGTGATTCCTACTGAACCAGACTGAGAGACCATTTAAAGGCTCAGAAACCCTTTCCAGGTGTTATGGCTTACTTAGCTGATTAGAGTGGGACACTGTGAGCCTAGAATATTGCACCTTTTCATAATATTCTAATTTACTGAGATTGTGGATTTGGGGTTTTCATGAGCTGTAAGCCATAATCATCGCACTTATGACAAGTCACGGCTTGAACTATGTTGCTTTGCATTTAATGCGTCTATCTCATATATTAGTTTCCCCTTTTACGTTGCATTACTGAAATAAATGAACTTTTGCACGATATTCAAATTATTCGAGTATCACGTGTACTAACAACTTTTCCTTATGAATATTCTTTACTGTTTATAGTGTTAAAAATTTACATGTCACATGGGTAATGGCAAGTAATGGATTAGGACACATTATCTGTTGTGTTTCTCTCATTTCTCTGCAGGTTGTTAGGCTGTGGTCTGACCTCATCCTGCTGTGAGGATCTACGCTCTGTTATTATCAAAAACCGATCTCTGACCAAACTGGATCTGTCAGGGAATACCCTGCAGGACTCAGGATTAAAGCTTCTGTGTGAGGGTCTCAGGTACCCAGACTGTACCCTGCAGGAGCTGCGGTGAGAACTGTACTATTAATGATAAAATAATTCTCTCAGATCGGGACATATGTGAAGGCGGAGCCTGTAGTTGTGGGAGGGGTTAACCGGCCTATTTAAACTCAGACCTACCTCTAAATCAGGGCCAGGTCGCTTCTGACGTCACTCACGTCACTTCCAGTTCCGGTCCAGCAGAGTAAGTACTCCTATCACGATCAGGCAGCAACCTCCCCACGACTGCAGTGTCTCCCTACCCTACATCATCTCAGCCAGCCCTGGGACCGGGCCCCCCACCGAAGCATTCACTTCCGGTCACGTGACACTCCTGTCAAGCGACAATCTGCCGACCTCGTACCCCATAGTTGCCGGTCTCGCGGGGGGGGGGGAGCTGGAAGGTCGGCAAGTTTCACCAGCACCCCCCCCCCAGGTCACCCTACCGGGCCCCCCCCGACACCTCCGGTCATAACACTTCCGCGGTCACGTGACACTCTGCCGGCCTCGTACCCCATAGTTCTCGCGCTGGTCTCCCGGGGGAGGGGGGGGGAGCTGGAAGGTTGCAAAGTTCACCAGCACCCCCCCCGGTCACATAACGGAGGAAGGGAAGAATAAACAAAGGGAAGAGAAAAGAAATTAAATAAATAAATAAATAATAATAAAAAAAAAATAACAGTATTGCAGTTCAGGGCAGGGAAGTTACACCAGTATAACACCTGCCACCCCCCCTCCCCCCAAATTTTCAGCAATTATGACGCCTCCAGCCACCCCCCCCCCTCCTTCCATCCGCCACGATCAAAACGTGCTAGGGGTCTGGCAAAGCACTACCACGAGTGCCGACGGCCAGACCCTCATCCACACGAATCACACACACGGAAGTGCAATCTGCTCACAGTTAAATCCCTGGGGTTTCCTATAAATAATACTACAAGCTAAGTAGTATATTTCTTATTTCATGCACGTTACGCTTTTCCCACCCTGACAAATCTACCTTCAATCACGTTTCTACCACGTGTCAATCTCAAATCATAAAAAAAAATTAAAAAAAATTAAATTCTATTCACATACCTGTTTTGTCTAGGCTACCTTTTGCATACTGGACACAACAATCTTGGGATTCCACGCTACCAGTAATACATAGGTAAGTAAGCAACATGGTCTTGTCGGTCCAACATCTATATCTCGGTCACACACTCATTTTAATTTCACTTAGGCTCTAAGGGACAACGCATAGTCCTCCCTTAATATCCACCGGACAAGCTACGCAGATCGAGCCAAATCTGGCAACCCACATGCCATATCAGTTCGCAAGACGCTAATTCTTCGCCATAGATCAACGCTATCGTGAGAAAACTCGCTTACCAAAGTAAGTATCTCGTTTTCCGCCTTTTTCCCCTTTTATAGTCACCCTGTCAGACACGCACCTGACAGGACAACAGGTCACAAGGTCCACACTACGGCCTCAATTCGATCACGATTCCTAAACCACCTCCTCTCTCAGTGGACAAGGCCATCGAACTCGCCTTTCAAGCACAACACCCCCAAAACAGGGTCATAGTTCACTCTACGTCACACGTCCTTGCGCTAAAAAAAAAATAAAAAATTGGTCCTCACATCTAGACCACTTCGCTCACCGACTTCACGGGCAAACTCTCCATATTCACGTACGAGCACGTCAGTCACCCCTCCTCCCCCGTTACAAGGCAGTTCACTCCCTACATAAAGAGATAAATGATTCCTATAATAATATTCACCCTAGTCGAACCATCATCCTCTAATTGATGTAGTTATATAGAATGTCACACGCTTCGGACATAGCCGAGGATGTCTCCCTACCCAGCACCCCAGCCAGGGTCGCTAGCCCTACCAGACCTTGTACTCCAGTGGAGCTGGTAGAGACGGCTAGTCCAGCGTCCCTACGCTCCTGGACCGTTCCCAAGATCGCAGCTGAGCTCAGAAGACGAGGCATACCATACCCGGCCACGGCCCGCAAAGCGGAACTGTACCGCCTCCTGAACAATAACCCCGACACCCCGCAACCTGGCACCAGTACACAGGCCATCGATGGGAGCACGCCTGGACTTCAGGCCACCATGTCCACTCTTCTCTCTTCAGTTAATCTGATCAATGAGAGACTGGAGAAACTTGAGAACCAAGTGGCCTTGATCAACCCAGCAAATGCTCCCACCATGCTGCCACAGTCACTGCCTAACCCGGGTAACAGCACTCTTTCCGGCCCAGCACCTGCCTCCACACACATCATCATGCCTGCCCACTTAGTGCCCCAAGCCATTAAAAAAGACATCCTAGAGGGGAAAGACGTCAACCTGGTTTCACTCCTCATAGCATCCCAAGACTTGGTAGAAAACAAGGCTTACTGCTATGGGGAAGTTTCGGTAGTACTCAAGGCTAGGGACCCCAGGCTTAACAAGAAACTGGCCATCCCCGATTTTGTAATTGCTTTTGGATTGTACAGGGATGTCATTTGTTCCGTCTTCCCTCAACGCAGAGAGGAACTGGACCTGTACCTCCACAAATTGGTGGACTTAGGCAACAAATACGGAGGCTACTCTTTCTATGATTATCATAGGTCATTTTCGGCGAAGGCGGCGGCAGCACTGGTCCAGTTTAACATACGCTCAGACTGGAGCCAACTGGATACGGAACTGTTCTGCCGCCACTTCGCGGGCCTCAAGCCTCCGTCCTGTGCCATTTGCACGTCCTCTGCACATTCCACCAATCTGTGTCCCTCTGAACTAAGCCAACCCTCCACAAGCCAAGCAGAGCCCACCCCCAAATCAGATAGGGTCATCAAAGACAAACTGGGCAGGCCCATTGTATTCCTCGGCAAAGCACAGGTATGCAATAACTTCAATGCTGTAGCTTCAGCGCTTGTCGTTTATTGCATGTCTGTTCCCTTTGCTTTAGGGCACACGCAAAGACCATGTGCCCTAATCGGCTGTTCCCTAAACAATGACTCACGGAGATTAATGTTGGCAACCTCACCTATTATCTTTCCAATCACCCCTCCCCTCACTTGGTCGAGTTCCTCACAACAGGCTTCACGGTAGGATTCCACACAGGGCTAGTGGCAATACCGGGAGGCACCCTAGAATGTAGGAACCTACAATCAGCCTTACAAGACCCCGTCACTACGAACGCACTACTTACAGCCGAGGTCAACCATGGGTTCATGATAGGCCCATTCACACACCCCCCATATGCCAGTTTCAGAACTAACCCAATTGGCATTGCTACTGGAAAATTCAATAATAAAAAATGCATGATTATTTACCTGTCAGCGCCTCATTCATCCGTGGTTCCTAGCATTAATTCATTGATTCCATCTAGCGAATTTTCACTCCAAGATGCCACAGTGGATAATGCAATGGGAGCAATTTTGAAAGCAGGTAAAGGCGCCTGGTTAGGAAAAACCGATATCACCAACGCTTTCAAATTGCTACCCATACACCCATCCCTGTGGCATTTACATGGAGTAAAATGGGAGGGCCAGTACTACTTCGCCACGCGTTTGACGTTTGGGGCCAAAAGCAGTCCCAAACTGTTCGACACGTTCGCCGAAACACTTTGCTGGTTATTACTAAATGTGTGTGGCTGCCCGGTAGCAATACACTACCTGGACGACTTCCTCACGGTTGAGGAACCTAACCGCACCCCCACAGCTTAGACAAAACGGCTGCTCTTTACTCCACACTGGGGGTACCTATTTCAGTAGAAAAAACAATAGGTCCTTCTACAGCCCTGACCTTCTTAGGCATCCATCTAGATTCCATATCCATGGTAGCGAGTCTCCCAGACGAGAAGGTAACACGCATAACTAACGAAATCTCATGGTTCATGCAGAAAAACTTTTGCTCTCGCAAAGAGCTACAGTCACTTTTGGGCTCACTTAACTTTGCGGTCCGCATCATACCGCAAGGACGGTCCTTCATTTCACGCCTACTTCACCTCCTGACGGAGACCCCCCACGACAATACCCACATACTCATCGACGTTAACGCCAAAGCAGACTTACGCATGTGGGGCACATTTCTCTCCTCCTGGAACGGGAGGTCAATGTTCATACCCCCACTTGACGTAGATTCCCCGGTCGTGTGGACCGATTCAGCAGCCCACACAGGCTTTGCAGCCATATACAACGACCAGTGGTTCCGGGGTGCATGGCCATCTGAAACATCAACACTACAGGCGTTTAACACCACATCCTCACTTTTCGAACTTTACCCAATAGTGGCAGCTGCACACACTTGGGGCCCATTGTGGGAGGGCAAAGCAGTCAAATGTCTCTCCGACAACGAAGCCACATGTGAAATCATTAACAAGGGCAGATCCGCATCCCTAGTCATCATGAGACTCATGAGAAGACTCACATGGCTGGCAGCAACTCACAACTTCCACTTGGTTTGCATGCACATACCAGGCCGGGAAAACATTGCAGCTGACGCTCTCTCTCGTTCCAACTTTCAGGCCTTTTTCGAACAGCATCCCACGGCGGTAGCCATACCTGTGCCAACCCCCGTATTTCAGGACCTCATTATGGATTGATAAACCGGAAACAACATGCACTAACGTTGGCTAAAGCGGCTCTATCAGATAATACCAAGAAATCCTATGACAGAGCTCTTACTATTTTTTCCAGGTTCACTTCCGAACACCATATCACCAACACCTTCTCCATAGACACGATCGTTGCTTTCACCGCGCACTGCCACCTACACCTTAAGCTTGCCCATAACACTATAAAACTCTACCTCACGGGCATTCAGCACCACTTACTCACCATGTTCCCCAATCACAAACCTTTCATGTCATCCTATCTCTTAAAAAACGTCCTAAAAGGAATACTCCGCACTGACGGCCCTCCAACAGCCAAAAGACAGCCAATTGACAGCAATAAATTCAAGGATCTATCAGATCTATTAGATTCTAACCCATTCGAACCTAGCACTAACAACGTACTCAAGACGGCTATGTACATAGCGTTTTACGGGTTCTTACGGCCCAATGAATTCACGGTACATAATCTATCAGTCAACACAAGCTACGTCAGAATTAGGGACCTACAAAAATCAGGGGACCATTACATACTGCGCCTAAGACGTACAAAAACAAATCAGGTAGGACCGCCTACAGAAATCCAGTACTTCCCGACCCATAACAAATGGTGCCCGGTGACAATCCTGGATACTTTCTGCCTTTCCCTCACAGACAAACAAAGCTACTCACCCTTACTCACTATCGCCGACAAACCTCTGACCACGGCTAAATTTATACACTATGTAAGGGCCTTGGCGATCAGACTAGGACACGACCCCATGTCCATCTCAGGACATTCATTCAGGATCGGCGCCGCGTCAGTCGCTTCCAGCAATAACGTACCCGCACACATCATTAAAAAACTAGGTAGGTGGAAATCAGCAGCTTACGGAAAATACATTCCACAGCCAGAGAAGGAACTGAGGAAAGCTTTTAAAGAATTGCTCATGTGAATGTTACAAACATTAAAGTGTTTTTGTTTGAAACCTTTTTGCCCTCATTATTTCAGGCCTACCCGATCGTTGGTTCAGGCACACCACAACCAACTATCGGTCTTCACCTACGACTACACTTACGGCTTTATATCCCCGACTACAAATGTGAAGGCGGAGCCTGTAGTTGTGGGAGGGGTTAACCGGCCTATTTAAACTCAGACCTACCTCTAAATCAGGGCCAGGTCGCTTCTGACTCCCCACCCACCAACACCCTTTCAACAAATACTATTTAGGTGGGCCCTCATTATTTCAGGCCTACCCGATCGTTGGTTCAGGCACACCACAACCAACTATCAGTCTTCACCTACGACTACACTTACGGCTTTATATCCCCGACTACAAAGGTGGTTTAACAGCTGGGATAAAGCTTAAGGAACCACTTAACGCCTTCCGAATGCTCTCTTTTTTTTTTTGTGAAAACACTGACAGAGAAAGAAAACATTTAGTGACTGACAACAAATAAAGCTATAGGAATGTGATGTCTGCTTCATGTTCACATTATCAGAGAAAATCTAAATGTTTTGGCGCCAGTACTGTAAAACAGTAGCTCATATTACTTGATTGTCCATTCATCTTAAAGGGGCAGCATAATTGATTTTCTGGTAAATAGCCTTTGGTTAGGGTTAGCAATAGTTCAAATTCTAAATGGTTGGAAAATAATCTATACTCCACAAAAATCCTAAAATATCACAGTGCTGGAGTATGAGGAGCAGAGTGATATCATACAGATGTCATGATGGAGCAGTGTGTAAGCGAGGGTAAATCTGGCATTGTATACCGGTCACGGTGTAGCAGTGTGATGACAGAGAGAGGCTTGCACTGTATGCAAGCTGAGGTATAGAAGAATGTAACAGAGGGTGAGGCTGGCACTGTATAGATTTCATGCTGTAATGGTGTTTTGCTATATGCAGTAATGAAACTAATCATCGGCTATAAACAAAAGATATGTGGGAAAAACTAAAGCTGTAACAAAAACTAGAAAAATATGAACATTTGCAGATAACCTTATGATAAAAGAATGTTATAATAATTAGTTAGATCTAACCCGAAATGTTATAATAATTAGTTAAATCTAATCCTACGGGTTCTGTGGCTGTTTTACATATTGTCACTTTATTTGCTTAAAGTCACATTCCCACAACAATTATAGAATTTAACCAAATAAACCTTTGTATTGTTTTTTTAAAGAACATTGTTAAAGGGACACTATAGTCACCAGAACAACTACAGCTTAATGTAACAATAATAGCTCCCTTCAGGCATTTGTATGCAAACACTGCCTTTTCAGAGAAAAGGCAGTGTTTACATTGCCCCTGGGACACCTCCAAGTGGTACTCCTCATATGGCCACTGGAGGGGCTTCCTGGCTCAGGGCTGCACAGTAAGCAGCCCTGCCGTTCAGCGTCCCCACGCTCTGAATGGAGACGCTGAATTTTCCTCATAGAGATGCATTGATTCAATGCATCTCTATGAGGAGGTGCTGATTGGCCAAAATGGTGTTTATCTGCGCCCCCTTGGGGAAGCATTGGATTGGATAAAAATCAACAATTCTGATTATGTCACCAAAGGGTTGCTTGGGGGAGGGTGGGGGAGGACAAGCCACCTAAATGGTGGGTTTTCACTATAGGGTCAGGAATACATGTTTGTGTTCCTGACCCTATTGTGATCCTTTAAACTGACGAGGTGTGTTTCTTTCTTCTTTTTTTTCTATGTCTGTAATTATAGGCAGGTTGGCTTAGGTAGATATAAGTTTACATGTCTCCCTATTTTGCTTCTTCTTGGGACACGTTTTATATCTCCTATTATACTTTGGAATTATAATGACTGGGGGAAGGGAGAGGGGAGGGAGATTAGTACCAGCATAATGGATAGCAGTAAGGAAGAGGAGGAAAGGAGGAAAAGAAAAGGAAGAGAAAGGAAAAGGGAACATCAAGCAATGTTAGATTGGCAACTTATTGGGTTATGGTTTTAGTGATCAGTGCGGTCATTTATTCCAGTCAAAGTAGATAGCATTGCGGAACGCTATTTGATCGACTATGGGCTGGATATTGGGAATGTCATTTGGTTTTTGAAGAGTTTTGAGTCCTTTCTCCTCCTGCCGGGGTCTCTTTTCCTGCAATTATAGGCAGGTCTTGTTCAGGGGGCTACATATACATGTGTGTGCATATATATATGTATATATATATGTGTGTGTTTCCCCACTGGATTACCAAGAGGTGGTTTGTTCCCCCTCTTGAAATATTTTTTATGTTTTATGTATTCTATAATGTAAATGTGTACTTTTTTGTTTGTTTTTATTTCTTCTTTTTCTTTTTTTTCTCTTCTTTTGCTTCTCTGAGACTCGATTTGGGGGGTAATCAGGACAATAGGTGTCATGATGGCACTTAATGTGATATCATGGAATGTCCAGGGTTTGAACTCACCACAGAAAAGGGGAGCGGTCTATAAATTTCTAAATGATAATGCCATCGATATTGCTTTTATTCAGGAGACACATTGGATTAATCCCCCAGAGAAATTCTGGAAGTTTAAGAAATTCCCGTTGATATTTTCCTCCAATATGGAGGGAAATAAAAAAAAAAAGAGGCACTGCAATTATAGTCTCTAGCAGAATTAATTTTGAAATGATACATCTAACTGGGGACCCAATGGGAAGATATGTGATACTTATCGCAAAAATTAATGGTATTATATATACTTTGGCTAATGTTTATGCACCAAATTCGTGCCCAGGAGATTTTTTGGATAAAATTATGGAAAAGGTTGATGAACTAGCATGCGGTAACATCATAATTGGGGGAGACTTCAATTGTGTATTGGATCCAGTACGGGATAAAAGCCATAAAAATGCTAGAGATTATAAATTTGTAAATACCTACGTTTCTGATTTTTCTAAATTTCTAGATAGGAATTCCCTATTTGATTGTTGGAGGACTTTGAATCCTAGTGAGAGAGATTATACTTTCTTTTCACATGTTCACCAGACTTACTCTCGAATAGACATGTTTCTGGTGAAAGCGGGGTTTTTGAGTTCTATTATTAGCTCCAATATAGGATCCATAGTTGTATCAGATCACGCACCAGTATTCATTAAGGTTAAGTTAAAAGGTGGCCTTAGACCAAGGACAAGGTGGAGACTTAATGAAAGCCTCTTGAAATCAGAGTGCAACATTGATTTTTTGTCATCTGAAATAGAAAATTTTTTGATCACCAATGATAATGGGGAAGTTTCTACGGCAACGGTATGGTGTACCCTTAAAAGCTTTATAAGGGGATTATTGATTAAACTTGGCTCAGAATCTAAAAGGAAGAAGGGAGAATCTTTGCAGGAGTTAAGAATAAAATTGGCAAATAAGGAACGTTTAAATAAAAATGTGGTGAATAAAGATTTAACCGAGGAAATAGCTAAATTAAGGGAAACTATCAAAGATAGAATTTACGATTTGGTCAATAAAAATATACTATTCCTTAAACAAAGGTGGTACCATAATAATAATAAAATAAATAAAGATCTCTCTAACAAAATTAAAAATAATCTTAAAGATAAGTTTATAAAAAAAATTGTCTTAGGTGATAAACATTTAGTGTTACCAAATGACATTGTAAATGCATTTGCGGAATTTTATAAATCTCTATATAATCTAAAGGAGGTAGGGAGGAGTAGAGAAGAAATGGATACATTTCTGAGTAACCTTAAATTACCAAAAATTAACCAAAGGAAGTTGGAATCGCTGAATGCCCCATTTCTACTATCAGAAGTAACCGAAGTAATAGACAAGTTAAAATTGAACAAGGCTCCAGGCCCAGATGGCTTCTCAACAATGTTTTATAAAACCTTTTCTAGACTCATTTCCCCTATCCTTCTAGAGATGTTTACGAAGGCGTCCGCGGATACCCCTTTCCCTAATGAGATGCTATTGGCTTCAATCATTCCTATACCCAAAATAGAGAAAGATTTAACACTTATAACTAATTATAGACCTATATCTCTTATTAACTTAGATATAAAGATATTCTCTCAAATATTATCTAATAGATTTTAGGCAGCCATGACCCAGGAAGGATCTCTAACAGCTATCTAAGGAGTGGCCAGTGAAGTTATCACTAGGCTGTAATGTAAACATTGCATTTTCACTTAAAAGACAGTGTTTACAGCGAAAAGCCTGAAGGTAAGGATTCTACTCACCAGAACAAATTCAATAAGCTGTAGTTGTTCTGGTGACTATATTGTCCCTTTAAAGTGAACCTCTTCTCTTTTTTTTTAAATTAATTTTCTAGAATGTAGATATAATATCCTTAATTAATTTTGATGCAATATTTAACTTATTCACCTGACTTGGAGAAGGCCAATTAAGTAGAAAGGGATCCATTCCTCTGCAACAATGTCTCCCAATATATCTTTTTTACACTTACTGTCCCAAGCTAGGAGATGAGATAGTATACATGTCTGATGTAAAGATTAACGGTTTGGAAAACCCAGTCCATCAGTATTTACATTTCTTTTAAGAATAGATCCCGGAACTCTTGGTTTCTTAGCGTTCCACACAAATTTTGTAAACAAAATCTCAGATTGATATAATATACCCTGGGGAACTTGTAGGGGCAGAACTCTAAACAAATATAGGATCTAAGATAGTATGTGAGCTTTCACAATAGTTATTCAACCCATCCATGCTACCTAGAGATTTTTCCAACGTGTCAGGAGATCTTAAGTAGTCTAATAAGTAGTTGTAATTCACCAATATAATCTCTTCAAATGTAGGGCAAATTTTAATCCCTAGATAACCTGGCCTTTTATTTGACCAATCCAGTTATTATAATTATTATTATTGCCATTTAAATAGCGCCAACAGATTCCGTAGCGCTTTACAATATTATGGGGGGCGAGGCGGATCTTATCAAATGTTGCTTTTGAGAATCTGTTAAATAAAAAGAAATAGTTGGAGTTTTTGATAAGTTTAATGTATTATTTGAATAAGAACCGTATATTTCAATAATATTTAAGATATTCGGAACAGAGATAAGTGAAAATGCGCATGTCAAAAATTTGTCGTCAGCTGGAATACTTAGGAATAAATGTTGGTTGGAACTCAATTGCAGATTTAGAAAAAAATAAATTCTGTCACTTTGAGATTATTTAAAGTAAGTGTTTTATTGCTTAGGTCTTGATATAACATAATAACCTTTAGTAGCAATTCAATCCTTAGTATGCAGATCCTTATTTAAATACTTAAACAATGTCCAATAGAATTATATGCAGAGTATAAACAAGAAGTATAAATGCAGGAGTTGTGCAGGATATATTCAGGTCGCAATTTAAATACAGGAATATATTGAAGCACAGTGAACTGACTTTTGTATTGACTGGATTCACCCTTTGAGAGCATTAAACTGAATGACTTGAAAAATACAGCAATTCCCAGTATAATAGAAGAATTTAGCTTGTTTGTGGAGGATGGTGATCAGAGGGAGTCCTTTCTGTGTTTAAGAAGTCTGTAGTTGAACAATATGCGTTTGGAGTAAAGAGATGACAGTAGTCTAAGTCCGTTCCGAGTCAAGGGAGTAAAGAGTTCAGCAATATCGGTTTTGAAGGTTCAGTTCACAGTTTGGTAACAAAGGGAACTCAGATGGCACTTGGTAGCAAAATGAAACAAATTGACTGAGCCCTTGATATTACATGCAGCTTCCTTTTAACACAGGTGTAGGTGACATCAGAAACATAGGCGGGGCCTGATCGGTGAACAAGGAAGTGCTGCACAGTGTATCTGCAGATCAGTAATCATGACATCAGCATACAAAGGGATCAAGTGTTCCTGTTGACCAATCTGTATGCCATGGACCTCTTCTGCACTTCGAATATAAGCTGCTAGGGGCTCTATAGACAGGGTGTAAAGTAAAGGGGCCAAAGGGCACCCCTGTCTTGTACCATTTTTGATATTAAAAAAATCGGAGTCCATTGACTTTCCTTTAATTTTAGCCCTAGGACTAGTATAAAGAGCCATAGTTCGATGAAAAAAAAGCATCTGTAATCACAAAGACCTGCAGAGTTTCCCCGAAGAAGGTCCAATTAAGCCTGTCAAATGACTTCTCAGCATCTAAGGCCATAAATACTGATGAAACCTCTTGGGTGTGGACTTGATCTAATATTCCCAAAGTTCTACGAGTATTATCGTCTCCTGATCTCCCTGTCATAAAGCCAGATTGATCGGGGTGGATCAAATCTGAGATTTTCAAGTTTATTCATCGTGCTAAGATTTTAGAATAGATTTTAATGTCTTGGTTTATCAGAGATACAGGTCTATAATTATTTACAGTTGTAGGATCTTTAGACGGCTTTAGGATTGGAAATATTGAAGTGTCTAACCTTTCTGCTTGAAAAGACAGGGATGTGCCCATTTGATTGAATAAACGGGTTAGAAGCGGAGAGAATACAGGTTCTAGGACTTGAAAAAAATAGGGCCGAAAACCCATCTGGACCTGGGGGTTTTTCCCCTCCCCTATATTTGAGTTATTGTTTTAGAGACCTCCAATATGTACAATGGTTGATTTCATTTTTCTAGTTTTAACTCTGATAGATAAGGTAATTTAAAATTCTTTAGAAATTGTTTAATCTTTAAATTAGATTTATTAACTTCTGGAAGGTTATACAAATTTGTAATAATCCCTAAGACACACATGTTCTACCTTTATAATGAATTACTTTTATCCTATTGGATATTTTTTTTGTCATTGTTCTGCGCGCTCTATTGTTACTATACCATTGATGTTTTAGTCTAGCTAGGGCTTTATCAGATTTATCCGTGAAGTTTGATTTTATGCTGTTTTGAATTGTGTTAATTTCTATATTTTTTTCAGTTATAGGAGTTAATGTATTTTGGTGTTCTAAATTTGCCAAGACAATATGTAATTCTGCAAGATCATTGCCTTTTGCCTGCTTCAACCATGATCCTTTTTTATAGGCTATACCCTTAAAAACGTTTCATTGAGCACCAGAGTTGTATCAGAAACCTCACCATTATCATTTTGTTCTAGAAAGTTAACTGCAGAGTTTATCAGATCCACTTTACTTTCCTCAGAAGCAATAATGGTTTAGTTTAATCTCCAATTCTTTCTTGTTTCTTGTCATCACCTCCCATTCACCGTTTTACTTTCACATTTACACTACTCTGCCATGCACATCTCTCTCAGGTGTATTACTTAGGGGGAGACAATGTCAGGTTCAGGGGGGGTGCCTTCTTTAATTATTGCACCTCGGCCCCTGCAAACAGTCACAACTACAGTGACAGCCACATCAGTCACGCATACACTGTCACATACAGTCATAGTCACAAAACACAGATACTGTTACAGCTCCACCATCACAGGCACACACATTTACAGTTACACAGTCACAAGTTTTCATATTTTGACATTCCTCTCAGTGGTCACTCCTCTAGAGCTTGGTATCCATCTCTGGGGACGGGTGTAACAGTGTTTTTGGATCTGCCAGAATTGAGCTATTAGCTTGGCTTGTGAGCCATAATAACCTTTGTAAAGGTTGTGCTTCGAGGTAGCAGAGTTGATACTGGCTGTCTGGAAGCAAGAAAACAGGCAGAGGTGTTTCTCTTTAGGCCAGCCCAGCTGGGGGAGATATAGCCGCTGGCTTGACCCCAGTCTCGGTGATGGTCTCTCTCCAATGGCATTTTGTTACCGGGAATCCTTTCAAAATGGACATCAGATGGTGACAGAGCCACTATTGTAGAGATATAGAGATCCTATATATTAAATTAAGTATGATAGAACAGATATTACCTCAGCTCAGAAAGAGCCTAGTTACAATGTATCATTAAAGGCTATATATCCTTAATTAGAAATCAACTGAAACTAGCTCCACATGTCCTTCAGCTATGAAGCCTATAAGATCAAACATCCCCGAGTTTTATAGTGTATTGGCAGCCTATTTTATGTTGTTCAAACAAATACTACACTAACTATAACAGAATTGTAGAGACCCTGAGCCACCAATTGACTTTGCTGTTTAAGAGCCTACATTACCATGCTGAATAGTTAGTAAGAAGCCAAATTAGACAGAGAAATGCACATGCACATACATTCTGCCATACGCAGCATACCCACAATGACAAAATACCACAAACAGTCAGGCACAGTATACACACACTGAAACAAACACACCCGGTATGCACACTGACACACGCTGCTAAACCCTCAGAAACTGTGTACACACATACTGCTACACATATATAATGCTACATGTACCGTCAGACATAGTAAACACATTGTAAGTGGTTTCTTTGTTTTTTTAATTGATTTTCTTGTATATTTTGATTTGGGGAATTGTCCCCTCAAAATTTTGTTGTCACTTCCTGTGATGCTTCGTAATATCCTGTGATATCATGTCATGTGGTGTCACACATATACAATTAATTGTGCAAATTAGCATGGTGGCTGGTATTTTTTTTTAAGAAACTCTACTTCCATAAAATACAGAGAAATCAGTGCGACTGTAACTTGGAATCTCAATGTATTCTCTTAGACTCAATGCACTTCAAAGCCATTCATATTGTGTATTTGGCTTATTGATATATTATATTCATTCCATTTCAGAATGAGATGGCTTCTATAGCAGAGAAACTGCTATGTTTATAATAGGGTTAATCCAGCCTCTAGTGGCTGTCTCATTGACAGCCGCTAGAGGGCTTCCGCGCTTCTCACTGATTTTCACAGTGATAAGACGCCAGTGTCCATAGGAAAGCATTGTGAATGCTTTCCTATGGACTGGCTGAATGCGTGCGCAGCTCCTGCCGCGCATGCGCAGTCAGCCGATGCTGGAGAGCAACCGGTGCTGGAGAGAGGGGGTCCCTGAGGGTGGGGGCACCCTCAGGGAACTATAGTGCCAGGAAAACAAGTATGTTTTCCTGGCACTACAGTGGTCCTTTAAGGTTAGTTTGTATCTTCCCTAAACTATGAAACTCTGTGGCCAGATTCCTTCATGAATATTTCCGTCATGTGTCCTTAAGGGGTTAATGCTCTCTTAGTGATTTCTACAGGAAAATGCCAATATAATTAGCGGATATAGATTTATCTCTGACCATAGGATCCAGCCTGGGCATTGCTAGGTGGTGAAAACACCAGGGGTTTCAGCCCAGGGGTAACTTTTATTGAAATTTTACTAACCCCAATCCTGCAGTGTTAAACCTACACCAGATACATTAAAGTCCTGACTCATAGTAATACTTCCAGACTGTGCTGTACTAACTACAAAAATGGTGCATGGAAGTGGCAATCTCGCAAAGTACATATTTCTATTAGAGTTTTATCTAACAGGATAAAAGTACATGTACAGTGCAGTACACCAACATCATTAAAAATAGATTATTTGTTTTATCTCTAGGTTGGACAGGGAAGATATACATGCTGATGAATACAGGAAAGAGAATGGTCTGTTTCCCCTATCACACTTTTAGAGCCTGACTGAGAATCTTCTGGACTTATTTCCATCTGGCCAGGTAAACGACTCAGTACTAATTATGAAACAACACCGGTAGTAAAATAACAAATAGTGCAAAAGATGTACATCACATCCACTGTGTAACCCAATTTACTGTTCGTGTCTGGATTAATATCCATCCAGAAGATGGTAAGCAAACTGCATCGATTGGAAAATAATATTTTTCTGTGTTCAAGTTCTGCAGCATCATACTCTGTATATTGTATAATTTTTTTAAATGATTTATGAAATGATCATTTAAATGCGCTGTGCCCTCTATTCCTAAATTGTTGGATTTAAAATCCAAAGGCCAATACAATTATAGTAAGTACAATTCGAGAAAGTGCAATTATTCCCATATGTTCAATAAATGTAAATAAAAAGAGGAATATAAGAAAGAGCGATATAAAATCAGTTACTAACTCACAGGAGTGTTATCTTGAATGCCAAAACCTAATTGTGTTTGAATACTTAAAATATTTTAACCCAGGATCGGATCCAGAACCTAATCTCGGAAGGGGAACTGGTAAATTATTTAAAAAAACAATCCTGGCACAGTAACCACTACAGCTCTGTAACCAAGACAAAGCTCCAAGCTCGCGAGAGGAGAAAGTGGCGGAGCGCCAGGCAATTTACATACAATTACATACCTTGGCTGAGTTGAAGTCCTTCCTTGGAGGCGCTCCACCGGTGAGATCCAGGTGTTAGGTGCATGGACGGCACAACTGGAGCAGAGGTTGGAGACCACAACAGAGGCACGTAATGTTGCAGCAGTATGGGTGAACTACCTCACGGTCCATGTCATGTTGGTGAAGCTGGCGATCGAGGATATGGACAACTGATCCAGACGCAATAATGTGTGCATTTGAGGCCTACCGGAATGCCCTGACGAAAACCCTCTGGTGGACCTGGTGGTAAGCATTTTTAAAACGTTACTCCCGGATGTCCCGGAAAATCGATGGCACATGGAGCGGGCTCATAGAGCGCTCCATGGCAGGAGGATGGAGTCAAACGTCCCCAGGAACATTATAGTCGCCTTCCTCCATTTTCCCACTATGGAGGCCGTCATGAGATGGAGTCAGGAAGGCCCCATTACGCATGAAGGCGCAAACCTAAGACCTGGCACCATTTACGCTCCAGAAGAGACGAGAATGGAAGACGTGGCACCATTTAAGCTCCAGAAGAGAGGAGAATGGAAGCCAGTTATGGAGGTCCTTCGCATGGCGAACGTGCACTACGCCTGGTGTTATCCCTTTAAGCTCCTTTTCTTAAAAGATGGCCGCCCTCACATTCTACAGCCGGGAGGAGATGCTGCTTTCCTTAGTACCCTGGGGCTCCAGGTACCGAGCAACTTACTCCCACGACGGGTGATGCCACAGATCTACCACAACTACAGAGGAAATGGTTTAAAAAAAAGGGTTAAAAAGAAACATAAGACCCAAATGCTGCTTACTTTACTAGAGTTATTACGAGTGATGAAACAACAGCACAAAACAAATCCCACTGCTGATATTCTGCCACAATTAAAAGCGGTTCACAGGTCAATTAGTGATTTGCTTATAGAAGATACCGCCAGGTCTATCATATGGTCAAAGCGGACCTTCTATGAGAAAGCCAATAAAATGGACATGATACTAGCCAGGTCTCTTCGGCCAATGCAGAGGCACGCCCACATAACAAGCATCAGATAAAGAGATGGAACATTAAAAACGAGTTTCGAAAGATATAGCAGCGGTCTTAAACGATTTTTACAAAATGCTGTATCCCTGCAGGATCAGCCTAAGCTCAACCCGGTAGCTATGGGCATCCTAAATAACAAGATTACTAGTGAGGAAATAGACAATGCAATTTCAAATTTGAAGGGGAACAAGGCTACGGGACCAGATGGCTTTGATGGGACATCTGGTACTACATACTGTCAGACACAGCCAGGGGAGTTGTGGCTAGGGCTGCATGGACAGAAACAAAAGTGATGTAACTCGTAAATGTTAACAAATGGAGCAGGGATACTGCAGGGGCATGATCTATACACCAAAACTGTTTCATTAAGCTAACGGTCTCTTGACACCAACAGTGTCCCATTTTGAACCCATTACACTTAGAATAGGGCTATCATATTAGTGCAACAAACTATACAGTTGCAAGAAAAAGTATGTGAACCCTTTGGAATGATATGGATATCTGCACAAATTGGTCATACAATGTGATCTGATCATCATCTAAGTCACAACAATAGACAATAACAGTCTGCTTAAACTAATAACAGACAAAGAATGAAATGTTGCCATGTGTTTATTGAACACACCATGTAAACATTCACAGTGCAGGTGGAAAAAGTATGTGAACTAGACTAATGACATCTCCAAGAGCTAATTGGAGTGAGATGTCAGCCAACTGGAGTCCAATCAATGAGATGAGATTGGATTGGGAGGAGACACTGAATGTTTGGATGCATTTTAGGCAGCCATGACCCAGGAAGGATCTCTAAAAGCCATCTGAGGAGTGGCCAGTGAAGTTATCACTAGGCTGTAATGTAAACACTGCATTTTCTCCGAAAATACAGTGTTTACAGCAAAAAGCCTGAAGGTAATGATTCTACTCACCAGAACAAATTCAATAAGCTGTAGTTGTTCTGGTGACTACAGTGTCCCTTTAACCCCTTAAGGACACATGACATGTGTGACATGTCATGATTCCCTTTTATTCCAGAAGTTTGGTCCTTAAGGGGTTAATACAGGCAGGCAGAGACTGAAATTATTCACAAGAAAAAATTAGATAATGTGTAGTAAAAATAGCTCTTTATTACGTTAGCCAAATGATCAAATTCATGTCTAGACACGTTCCTAAAATATTTAGCTGTAACGCTATTGTTAAGTGCTTTCAATGCAAAATACTAGTTTAAAATATTTACTCAATTCATACAGACTGCATCCACTATTCAATATATTTATTTAATATATATTTCATTTGTGGAGCTTATTATGAATTTTTTTTATTTTCTTTACTTGTGTTACATTTTTAACTAACTGTGTATGTGTAATATTTTTTTCTTTACTTTTTTTCTTTAGGAGGAAGGCCAGTTTCTGAAAAATAGATATTTCTTGATTGATGTTCATTTTTCGCTAACTATGGAGGATATCAATATAATAATGGATGATCGTTATTTTACATGCCGTCTTGTCTTATTTACATCAGATTTATATCTGAAAATCACAAACCCATCCTTGATGATGTGTGCAAGACATGCTAACTAATAATTCCTTGTTAATCATTTAATAAAGGACAAAACATTGTAAAATAGTTGTTTAGCTACTTACATTGCGGGGAGGGGGGGATAGAGGTGACAGTGATCTGTAATGTTTAGAGTGATTGGAGGGTTCCTCTAAGCTATAACAATCACTCCAGAGCCATTTTACCCTTATCAATTTTGACAAATTGCCAAATACCCCAGATGAAGAGAGTGACAGAAGACTAGATAATTAGGCGTACAGCGTGACAGTGATAAAAGGCTTGAGGGACAGGTGGATAGCGTTGCACAACATGGCTGGAGGGACAGAGAGACAAAGGACCAGAGAAACAAGGGAGCAGAGTGAGAGAAGGCTAGGGTGATAGGGGAACAAAGTTACAAAACAGGGCTAGAGAGACAGGAAAGTAGGTGGACAGAGTGATAGTTACACAGTGCTATTTGGACAGGAGATTAGGGGGACCGATTAACAAAAACAGAGAGGAACAAGGGGAGAGAGGGACAAAAGGCTATGTGATTAGGAGGACAGAGGATTAAGCGTACAGAGTGACAGTGATAAAAATTCTTCGGGGAATATGAGGGACAGACTGACACAACAGAGCTAGAGGCAAAAGGGTTAGGTGGACAAAATGACAGTGACACAGAGCTAGGGGGACAGGGGATTAGTGGCACCAAGTGATAAATACAGAGAGGGGCAGGGAAATATAGTATTAAAGGTTGTGATAGAATTGGGCAGAGAATTAGGCATACAGATTGACAGTGAAAAATTGCTACAGGGGCAGAGTGACAAAAGGCTACAGAGACAGAGTAACAAAAGAAGAGCTGGACAAAAGGCCTGAGAAATAGGGGATTTGGGTGACAAAGTTACACAAAGCTAGGGGTAAAGTGGCGTAGGAGGGTATATGTAAATATTAAAATGCCCCTCTCCTTGCTTCTTGTACTTCCTGATAGCTGCATTGAGACTGTGCAGTAAAGATGGGCAGCTTTCTTGTCATGGGGAGCTGCACACATGACCTGGGAGCTGACAGTCTTTCTCTGAGGACTTCTAGGACTGTTGTGAGTCTGTGAGAAGGGCGGCCGAGTCGTGTTCTCCTGATGTCATTGGAGGGGTGGGCCAACTCCAACACCATTTTGAAGAATTCCATAAGGAGCATTATGTACTTTAACAATCCCTTGCAGTCTGCTCTTTGAGGATCCTATGTGTGAAATCTGGCCTTTGGGAATATGATTTGACTTTTGTTCATCCCCTGATGTATAACGCACTATTTAAAAAAGATTTCTCTAATACAAAACAAGAAAATGGTTGCTTTCCTGTACTCGTTCTCTGATGCTTAAGACATGTCTTCTAATAAAAACATTTCCGACACGTAGAAGAAGTGAATGGTTTATCTCCTGTGTGACGCTTTTCATGTCCAAGATTTGTATTATTTGCAAAACATTTCCCAGATTCAGAAGATGTTTCGGAGTTTAGTATATGCTTGTATAGATCACTACATCAACCTTTTATCCACAGCATGTCAAAAACGATTCCATTAAAGTATTTGATAAGATGGTTGAGAAGGACTTTAGGAACAAAATCACCAGTAAGATTACTAAAGATAACCTGACCAGAAAAGAAAGAAAGGCACTAAAACAACTCACGAAGATATCACAATAAAAGCGGCAGACAAAGGAGGTGGACTAGTTATTCTGAGTACCAGTGACTATGTGGAGGAGAACCAAAGACTACTAGGAGACACTAACACCTATCTGCAACTGAAAAGTGATCCTACCCTTCAATATCTGGAAGAACTAAAAGAAATACTCAGTTATGGAAAAGACAGAGGAATTTTGAACGAAAGAGAATTTAAATACTTATATGTACCGTTCCCAAGGATACCGGTATTCTATCACCTACCAAAAATACATAATAAAAAATGATCCAACACTCTCAAAATGTCTTGATCACCAATCCCAGATCATATTCACTAAGGCACCCAACCTACAGCTCATGTTGGCACCCACCATCAAATCTCAGAGTGCCACTTCGAACCAAGATGCGACCCATGGTTTCACAAGATGTAAAAAGTGTCCAGCATGCAGGAATAACCCGTCTTTAGAAGATACAACCATTAAATTCTCATCACTTACCACCCAAGATGAATACGACGTTAAGACCAACATGGACTGCAACACTTTGGGAGTCATCTATTTAATAACATACCCGTGTCTGCAACAGTATATCGGACGCACAAAGAGAGCATTGAAAATAAGGGCTGCAGAACATATTGGGAACATCAAGAAGGGACTTTTAACACATAACCTCTCTAAACATTTTAAAGAAATCCATGGGGGGGACCCCAGGGGACTTAATTTAATGTCCAACCATATCACAACCCATCTATATCCACCTTTATGTTTTACTTTTTAGTGTACCTATCCTATAGAGATCCAGCCTGTTAGGGACACATAACGTACTTTAATTCCATATTTTAAGCATTCATATTTTAGAATACTGTTGATTTTACTATCCTATATATTCTCTTTATTATACAGTTTACTTTTAGTATTCATTTTACTTTATACATTGTTTTCATTCTCCTTTCCAAATTGTCTTTTTATCCTTATTCTTAAGGCATCCTACTGAATTTTTAACAGTGTTTTATTTTTATTTTTACACTTGTAGCCTTATTCATTATTAGTTATACCTTTGTATCGGTCTCCTCTCTTCCCTACTCTTTGACAGGTATCACAAGTTTGGCAATACTGTCGAATGTCTTTGGAGACGCCTGGCCAAAATAAATTTTGTGTCAAACGGTGTTTGGTCCTACTGACGCCTAAATGCCCGGCCAGTGGAATATCGTGTGCAATACGTAGTAATTCCTGTCTATACTTTTTAGGAACGATTAATTGTTTAATAGACATGGGAATCGCCCCTGCTACTATCGTTTCTGCTAATCTGTACAGCAACCCTTTCTCACAAGCATATCTCTCCCCCTCCAACCCAGCCTAATTCTGCGCTACCCTATCTCGGAACACTTGTAAACATGGGTCAGTGGCTACTTCACTACCAAATTCTAAGGGTGGTACCCAGGGGACAATAGGGGGTGCGTGACTGTTGCTTACCTGAGCCTCAGAGTGGTCGGAGGATGCGGTGGTGCAAGCCTGCTGCCCGGTAACGACTGGTAACGCTTCCTGCGCTGGATGTTGGGGAACAAAGGCTGAAATCAGCTCCCCCAAGTCATTGCCCAAGATAACGTCGGCCGATAAATCTTGCATGAGGCCCACTTCCACGTCCCCTGACCCCGCTCCCCAATCCAAATGTACCCTGGCAGTGGGAATCTTGTATATTGCTCCCCCTGCCACCTGTACTGCCACGTACTCCCCAGTGAGCTGGTTCTTTGGGACTAAGTGGTTACGAACCAAAGTTATGGTGGCCCCAGAGTCACGCAGACCCTGGAGGCGTTTTCCCTCTATACGTACCCCTTGTCGGTGTCCTTGTCGGTTGTCGGAAACCGCCTGTACCGGATTGACTTCGTGTAGGGTACCTAGGGGTTCCTCAGTGGATCCGGTCGAAAAGGGCAGTTGTCGGGGCTCATTCTGGTGGGATTGGTCGGGTTATTCCAGGTGTATCGGTTCTTGTTCCTGGGACAGTCTCGCTGTATGTGGCCCTGTTGATTGCATGTGTGGCAACGGATAAAGGACCGGTTGTTGTATCTGGGTGGGGGTTGGTAACTCCCACCACCGGGACGAAGTGTCGTGGTTGTGGTAGTAGTAGCTGGAGGTGGTGTTGCAACCCTGTGGTGGGCCGTAACCGTGCCCGCTGCGCCCTTCTGGCATAGTTACATAGTTACATAACTGAAAAGAGACTTGCGTCCATCAAGTTCAGCCTTCCTCACAAATGTTGTTGCTGTTGATCCAAAAGAAGGCAAAAAAACTGGTCTGAAGCACTTCCAATTTTGCCACAAACTAGGAAAAAATTAATTCTTGACCCCAAAATAGCAGTCAGATGTCTCCTTGGATCAAGCAGCTATTACCCCACTAATAAGAAATTATATCCCTGTATGTTATGTTTTTGTAAGTATTTATCCAATTTCAGTTTAAACATCTGTATGGACTCTGACAAAACCACCTAATCAGGCAGAGAATTCCATATCCTTATTGTTCTTACTGTAAAAAAACATTTTCTTTGCTTTAGAAGAAATCTCCTTTCTTCCAGCCTAAATGTGTGACCTCGTGTCCTATGTATAGCCCTGTTTATGAATAGATTTCCAGATAAAGGTTTGTACTGGCCCCGAATATATTTGTATAAAGTTATCATATCCCCTCTCAGGCGCCGTTTTTCCAAACTAAACAGATTTAATTTTTTTAACCTTTCTTCATAACTAAAATGCTCCATTCCTTTTATCAATTTTGTAGCTCGTCTCTGGCCCCCTCCAGTGCCATGATATCTTTCTTTAGAACAGGTGCCCAAAATTGCACAGCATATTCAAGGTGTGGTCTTACCAGCGATTTATAAAGAGGCAGAATTATATTTTCATCCCGAGAATTTATGCCCCTATTTATACATGACAAAATCTTACTGGCCTTAGCAACTGCAGATTGACATTGCATATTGCTGCCTAATTTGTTGTCTATAGCAATTCCCAAATCCTTCTCGTGTGTGGTTATCCCTAATTCACTACCATTTAGTGTGTAAGTTGCTTGTGCATTCTTAACCCCGAAGTGCATAACTTTGCATTTCTCTATGTTGCATTTCATCTGCCATTTTAGTGCCCAGTCCCCCAATCTATCCAAATCTCTCTGCAGCAAAGCAATATCTTGCTCACATTTTATTACTTTACAAAGTTTTGTGTCATCTGCAAACACTGATACATGGCTTTCAATGCCTATTTCAAGATCATTTATAAATATGTTAAATAGAAGTGGTCCCAAAACAGAACCCTGAGGGACACCACTTACCACTTTTGTCCAGCCTGAAAATTTACCATTAATTACAACTCGTTGTACTCTATCCTTAAGCCTATGACAGGGGGAACATGGGGGGCATTTAGGGTCGGCATATTTTCCCGTCCCGTGAGTGCGTGCAGGAGCAACGGGAACAGCGTTCCTGCACTTTTTTCCCCACGTGTTCCTGCAGGACTCAAGCCCTGAGTATGGGAGATTTCTTGGGGGTCCAGTAGGGACGGGTCTAGCAAGGTAGAGGTCAAGGGCAGGAGCTGCAATAGCTGTTGCGGGTTGCTCTACTCCAGTGCAGGGTTTTGTTCAACAGTGCTGGGATATAGTGATTTGAGATCACTTCCTCTAAATGCTGCAATGCATAAATTGAGGATTGCCCTTCACCACGTTCAATCACCACTCGGTTTACATTAAGGACTCCTGATACGCTCTAGTACCCTTGAGTGCAGTACAAAGGCACCCCGAGTGCCATGCATAGCCCACGTGCCTTAGTTTGCTGACACCTGCTTTAGACCTTTGTGCTAATGAAACTCCAAGGGGATATTCCACTAAGCGGTGCAAATAGCAAAAATGTATGTCTGCTAATATTATCAAGCCAGTGGTGCTAAACAGCCAATGGTCAAACCAAAATATAAATAAATACCACTATAGAAAAACTGTATCTAAAAAGCATTTCAAACATATAATGTCATAAAAATAACAATTAGTCTGTGTAAGCAGTCACGGTCAAACCAGATCTAATGTACTTGACCAGGCCCGGTGGGCCGTGATGGCCATGGGCCGAGGACGACAGGGGAGATCACAAGATCTCCCCTGTCAGTCTATGCAGAGCCGATGCTATGCGAGCGTCGGTGTTCCATCAAATCCCCTACCTTCGTTACTTCCGGTGAGGGAAATCAGCTGGATCCTGTGCTGCACATGCGTGCTAGCACTCCTGCTACCCATCCACAGCAAGGTCCTGGAATGTAAGTAAAGCTAGTTTTACACTTTCATTATAGTTAGTGCATTCACTAAGCTTAGGACATGGGACATTTAGGGTTAATGTTAGGGTTCAAATTAGGGTTAGGATTAGGGACTTGGTTTTTATTTAGTGATATTTCACTCTAGGGGAATATCTATAAATTGTGATTTTTCACACTTTATTTTAACCCTTACCCCAAGGGTTAGAATAGAGTGTGAGAGAGGTTAACATAATTTACCTAACCCTAATTTGAACCCTCACTTTTTTAGTAGCCACATAGTCACAAACACTGACCAAAAGTGGCTTTCAAATTAGTTTTTTGCATTTTTCACACACAAACAAATATTAACACTAACTTTGGCCAGTGTTTGTGACCAAGTGGCTACTAAAAAAGATTGGACATACCCCATTTGCAATACATTAGGTTGCCTACTATTGCAAATGGTATGCCATCATGGGGGTA